TTTTTCCTTTTCAACGCGTTTTTTGGGGATTTCGGATTTTTTTCGAATTTTTTCGCAATAATATTCTGAAAATAGATAAATTTTAACACATTTTGATGCAATAAAAAAATTGACCGGAGTCCCCCTTTAAAACTGAAAAAAAACATTCAGAAAGATATAGTTTCATTAATCTATGTCAAAACTTTTCAGAGGGAGACCCATGCATGCTTCCACTAGCCCGCGGAACTGGAAACCAATTCATGGATCGTTTCTACTACAACCAACAAACCGGAACCTGCCAACAGTTTACCTATTCCGGACTCCATGGAAACCAAAACAACTTCTTGAGCCAACAAGCTTGCGAAGAGCAGTGCGGACCAAATCCGTGCTTCGAAGGACGCCCATTCGTTGGAGCCGATGGAAGAACCCAAACTTGCTCGGCCTCCGCCAACTTCAACACTTGCCCACTGAACCATTGGTGTCACATTGGATCCGACTTGTCTACTACTGTTTGCTGTCCAGGAGCTTCTACAAATGTGTGTAATCTACCAATGTCGACTGGAGAAGGAAATGCCAACTTGGATAGATTCTATTATGATCAACAATCTAAGACGTGCAGACCATTCGTTTATAATGGATTGAAGGGAAATCAGAACAACTTCATTTCGTTGGTGAGACATTGTTAATGTGTGCATTTCAGAAATCTTGATGAACTTTACACACCAACGTTTATCTTCAAATGTTTCAGAGAGCCTGTCAACTCTCCTGCCAACCATTAGACAATCCATGCATCGGTCAGCCAGCCACTACTGCCGCTGGACAAGTTCTGTTCTGCTCGATCACTAACAAGGATTCTTGTCCGGTCAACTTCTGGTGCCACATTGGAGCCACTCCAGAAACCACTGTTTGTTGTCCAGGAGCAACTAATCCATGTTCTGTGCCATTGGCACCAGGAACTGGAAACTCTGGATTGGCCAGATATTATTACAATCCTGATGATAGGGTGAGTAGACATATATTCCGGTTTGAGACTTGCTTTAAAGCTTTTCAAAAATCTAAAATGGACAAAAATTTCAGCAATGCCTTCCATTCCAATACAACGGAAAGCGCGGTAACCAAAACAACTTTGAGAACCAAGCCGAGTGCGAGAGGACGTGTCCAGGTAACCTACAGTAATCCAGAGATCCTCAGATTATTGGATCGGCGTTGGATACTGTATAAAGAAGATTATCACTAACCCTGCATGTTTTTTGCACTAACTCCTCAAACACCATACACAAAATTCAGTATTCACAAACCCATGTCTTGGAGAGGTAATCCTGGAAAATGGGTTACCCAAAAAATGCAAACCAATGCTCAAAAACTCATGTGGATCCGCAAGCGAATTCTGTCATACTGGAGATCCATCACATACGGATTCAAGTTTTTGTTGTCCAAGGATTAATCGTGAGTATTTTATTCCTATCCAAGACTTCCTGGAAATTTTCAGAAGATCCTTGTGATGCGTTTGTTCGGAATGGAGAAGGAAATTTGAACTTAACAAGATACTACTACAATCCAGTAGAAGCAGATTGCTTCCCATTTCAGTACAAAGGGTTCAAGGGAAATGAGAATAACTTTTTGACGCTCAAGAATTGTCAGGAAACTTGTAAACCATGTAAGTATCGATTCGCCTTTCTCTTTAATTTGAAAATGTTTTCGGTTTTTCAGTGACCACCGCATGCTTCGGAGGAGAGTCACCACTTATGAACAATGAACGTGTGGTCCAATGCCATAACTTCGTCTGCCCATCAACCCATTACTGCCACCGTGGAGCTGACGTCAGGTCTACAGTATGCTGTGCTCGTCGCGGTCATTCTTGTGATCAACAACTGATGTTAGGAGTAGGAGGGGCGTCCATGGAACGATTCTATTATGATACCACTGATGATGCGTGCCTGGTATTCAACTATTCTGGAGTTGGGGGAAACGAGAATAATTTTTTGACAAAAGCCGAGTGTCAAATTGCTTGCCCGGGGTACCGAGGATACTGTCCACATGGGAAACCGGATGTAACTGAACATACTTTAACGACTTGTGGCATTGATACTGGATGTCCCAGAGATCATGTATGTCATGTTAGCAAAAGAGGATCAAAGACTGTATGCTGTCCGGATCCAGGTGAGTAGCTTACAAAGTTTCTGGGTCTCCTGGAATGTATCCATTTGTGAAAAAGAAACATCGGATTTATCAAAAGTTTCTCAATCAATCATTTTCAGCATCCTTCTGTCTAATCCATGCCAATCCGGGCCCCTGCAATCGAGAAATACCCCGATGGGCTTATGATAAAACAACTGGAACGTGCAAGAAATTCATGTAAGTTGAACTTTTGATATTATTGTAAGTTCTGTTTAAGAAACAAATTTTTCAGGTTTGGCGGGTGCCAAGGAAATTTGAACAATTTCGAATCGGTTGAAAAGTGCACCGAAATTTGTTGCGACAAAGGATACAACTAATTTTTCCACGAAATTTTTGAAACAAAAATTTCAAAACCTCTCTCACCAAACATTCCAATTTTTCTCCAGTGTTTTCCCTCACCACCCGTATACCAATTTTTCCTTTTTTGTGTGCCGTGATTTTTTTCTCAATTTTTCAATTTTTTTTCTCTCAAAAAGTGAGTTTTCACCCAAATTTTGCATGATATCTTCATTCCTATCGCTTCGCACGTCGAAAACTTTTTGGACCAATTGGTATACGGTAATCAATTTCCTACTTAACCAGTTAACATTTTTGATAAGTTTGGTTTAGTTAATTATTGCACCCCAATCATGCTATACAAATCTTCTTTATTTTATGTAACAGCGCCGATCGAAAAACAAATAATATGAGAATGCTAAAGATAAGTTGAATGATTATTTTGGGATAATCGAGAATACTAATTGTAAAGGTGATCAATTAAATAATGTTTCAGAACAATTATGTCTGTTATCAATTGATCGAGGAGCATGTGGAGGACGACAAACAAGATATGCCTATAACAGACAAACTGTAAGATGTTTTCCAATTTTCCGTAAAGTCAAATTTCTAAACTTTTTTGAATTATCTGAAAACTTTCGAGATTTGAGTTCTTCATTCAAAATGCAATCTTTTTTCAGAATCAATGCGTGCCATTCGAGTACACTGGCTGTGGAGGAAATCTGAACAATTTCGTTTCGATGGCCGATTGTATGTCGACTTGTGGAAACGTTGGGTTCCGATAAACTCTAAAACTCCATTTGATTATTTAATTGATATGAATAATTAATTAATTAGTCAAAAGTCTTTAAAAAATATACATTGTGCATCTCTGATTGTGCTCCTCCCCCTCTCAATTTATGCCACACTCTTCCCAACTCTTTTTTTTTTGCTTTTTTCTAACTTTAAACAAAACTCCTTTGTCTTTCTCAACTGCAATAGAAGATTATTTTTCAAAAAAAAGTTTTTTTTTGAAAAAAATCATATTTTTTGTATATTTCTGAAAACGTATTTATAGCCTAAATATATCTATTTTATTTGTATTCTGTATTATTTTTCTGAATGATTGGATAATAAAATAATTTTAATTTCTATCTTTCATTACTTTTTTAACGCTTTTGTTAACAAGGACTACAATTATTATATTTATTTCAAATCAAAGCAACTGTTTTATACAGAATATATGTTTCTTGGAAGATGACAAGATATAATACATACATGCGAATGTTTTCAGACTCTTCAGTTTTCAAGCATTTCAGATTTTTAATTAAACGCCGGCTTAAAATCCGGATCGATGGCTGGCGTGCTGACTGGGGTGACAATTGGAAGAGAATCCGTTGAAGAGTAGTGAGAATCTGAAGATTTTGAAGAGGACCCGGAGAGTGGAGGAGATTGAAGAGATCCACATGGAGCGACTTGGTCTTCCTCGCCAGCCTGAAAAAGTCAAAATATTGAATCCAGAACAAGGTTTTTTTAAAGCATGACCCTTAAAGGTGGGGGGACAGGAGATTTTTCGTAGTTTTTTTGTAGCTAGAGTATGCATTCTACCGTCACGGTGTACAACGCTTAATGTCACTCTGCGTACAGCTGTCGTCCTCGCCTTTATGTATCCAATCGGGCGTGCGCTCTCTCTTTGCCCGCGTGGCTCAGTCGGTAGCGGCGCCGCACCCTCAATCATCGCCCTCACAAGTTCAACTCCTCGAGGAGCATCTTTGAACGGAATTTCGAGAACTTTATTTTTTTCATGTCCCCCCACCTTTAAAAACTTTCAAACCCAACTTACCTCAATAAGTTTCAATCTTTGCACCAATTTCTCACTGAATCGCTCTCTGTATCCTGGTGAGATGTCGTCCATCAGAAGGTACAAACTGTCGTAGTACTTTGTAAACAACTCTAGTCTCGTGAAATCTCCAACCATACAATCCGATCGAAGACTTGTGATTCTCCAACCTTTGAGTGTGAGCTCTAGGCAGTATGGTTGGGACTCGAGGGTTGTGACATTGACAAAAATGAGATCAGGAGTACGTGGAAGCATTTCGGATACACTAATCGAGGAGACAGCAAAGGAGAGCTCATGAACAGCGGCTGAAAAATTACTCAGTTGTGAAATGTTTAGTAGGTCTCTTTTTTTGAAGTTTTATAAAATTTCGACCCATTTAACAAGTTTTTTTCGACGTACCAATCGCTTCCAGTTCCAACGATGATTCACCTCCTCGGGATGCTGGATTGGTGCCTGCTGACCGGTTGATTGATGAAACCTTGTGTAAAGACATCGGGACGGAACTGCAAAAAAACAACTGCTATGTGATAATAGGTCACGTGCTGGGAAATTTTTTACACTTTTGTTACACACGTGGGGTGTCTGGCAATGTTACCTGGTGATTTCAAATTTATGTATTATGATATTTCTAACGCAAAGATCATTTTTTACATCAATTAACAGAACATGTTATGTTTCAAGTCGACTTTGTTAGCATTTTAATGTAGAATTCTTACCCAGTCGGACTTCCGACGTTTCCACATCTCAAACACGGAATCGGCTCGGATTTTAACATTTTCGACAGTGTGCTCGACGTAGTTGGCGAAGTAGAGGGAGCAAACTGACTGCCCTCAAATAGAGATTGGCTACGGTTGCGTTGTGGAACGGTTTGCATTGTTTTAGTATAATAGAAGACGGGGAATGACGTAAAATCGAAAGAAGGGGGGTCCGTTTTATAAGGGATCTCCCCGATGGGCGGAGAGATGGAGAGAGTCAATAGAGACAGAAGACGTTAGAGAAAAAGAGACGCAGAAAAAGAGAAGAAGAGTCTAGAAGGAATGGAGAGTGTCCAAAAGAGAGAATACAAAGGAAATAAGACATATATGGGTAATAATATGATGTCACTTTTGAACATATCGGATAGATTAATTTATGTGCGGTAGAAGGAACGGCAGGAAAAGGACAGGTCATATATAGTATAATGTGGTCAAAGATGATGTTCGATAAAAATAATTTGTTCCTGTGAAATGTAAAAAAAAGGTAATGATAAGACACCAGAGAACGATTTTGTACTATACAAATGAACAAGTAATCATAGATGAAATTCGAAAAATAAAGTTATTTAGCGTTTTCAGTGTTGAAGCTTTGAAGCCATCTCACAAAATTAAAGAAATTTGAAATATTCTCTTTGCTTCCTCTAATCATCTCAAACGGGTGGCGTTGTATTAGAAGGGGCTTTAAACTACAGGTGGAATGATATTAAAGTTTTTATGATAACCAAACAATACATTTTCGAAGGTACCAGCTACGAACACATATTAAACGAACTTTCGAAACTTTAATAATTAGTTTTTGATGGAAAAATTCCAATTATACAAATACAATGTTGTTACCCAAAATCTGGGGATCTTAAGTCTATAACTCCGAAGAAATGTCACAGTTCTCACTCAATTCAGTCAATTCTCTCATGAAAATAAGATGCCAAAACAATAACGCCCCCGAAAAATGGAAAGAAAATTGACTAGACATAATAACATTTTCGGTTCCATGGCAACTTTATAAAACCAAGAATAACAACATACAACGTCTCCCTAAAAACAAGAAAATTATTTTAGAAAATCTAGAAAGCAAAGATAATTGTTCTCAGGAACTCAAAAAAATACAAAGATCTGAAGAATTCTACTTCCTCAAAAAAGTATGTTTTTGACTATGATAACAAATTGATAGTTTCTATTTAGAAGAAGTTGGAAGATAGCAGTGTTAGAAAAATGAAAAAGCCTTCAAGATTTCGGAATAAAACCTATGGAAGAAAAATGGACTCTCGACGTCAGAAGGACCAGGAAAAGACAAGGAAGGAGAAAAAGAAGAAGAGAATTTGAAAAAAAGAAGAAATAAAAAAGAACACATGCTCTCGGAGTGGAGAGCCAGTAATTTTCCGAAAATCCAATGAAACAAGAAGCTGTGTATCTTCACGTGATTTGTCTGTGAACTTTTTTCTTATCTCTTTTGTCAGTGTAGACATTTAATTGGATGACAACTTTTTTGCAAGTAGTCTTTTCAGACTTTGATAGCACGAAAAAAGTTTTTTGACATGTGAAACTCAGTTAAAAATTTTCTCAAGTAGAAATAAGTCATATGATTCACTGAATGTTTGATCAAGTTCACATACTCTGACCCCGATGATCGTAACAAATCTCAAAACCAAATATTAAACAATTGAGATCTTTGAGTTGGTGTAAAAATGTGAAACTTTTTTAGCATAGCCCGTCCTGCAACTTTCTTTGATGCCAATACTTTTGAACTGTTCAGATTATTCATTTATTTATTTTTCTCTTATAACTCGGTTTACCTTTAATTTTAAGGCAATTTTTCAAAATGAGATGGCCCCTTACAGGCTTCTCACACAGATTTCCTTACCGACCGAACTTTCCGGAAATTTTTGAATATAGTACAAGTTAATATGAAATCTCGAATCTATCATGTTTTCATGAAGCTCATCAATTTCTTCAATGTGATATCAAACATAAATGCAGTCGTATATCCTTTTGCTCGCAGGAGTAGTCAAAAATGACGCTATAAGAACGGAAATACAAAAATTGTCGCTTCTCACATCACTCTGGAGCGTTTCTATTATTATGAAACTGCTTAATTTGATAAGATAGCAAAATATTATGATGGCGATTTTACTCCCAACTATAAAATCAGTTCTAATTCCGGTTAGAGATAACTATAATTAAGCCATGAGAAAGTCTCAAACTTGAACCGTGTTACATCTAAAATTTAGAAAAAAAACAAGGCCGCATCATAATGTGAAACATTCCGACACATTAGACAAAATATACACAATCTCTTCATTTTCATTCGAGTTTTATACAGATTTTAAGGAGAGGCGAAGTCAAAGATCAAACATAATTTGATTAAGAAACCATGTGCGATGGATACCGAAATGATGGAACGAGTCTTAGGACAAGACACATTTTTAGACCACTTTTTGATTCAACCACCGGTGAAAACTGAAAATTCGAAGAAAATAAAATGGGTTATCAGAAAATGGCAAGTAGCTTCTATCGTTTTATCAGCAGCTGCTAATTTACAACAGAAATATTCGTGTTAGTTGGTGACACGTTTCTATCAAACTCATATGATTTCTTGCCGCTTTTTTGGCCAAAGATGTATGTATTCTTTTTTGATAAATTCTTCTATTTCTGTTTAACTCCGGTAGAAAAACTTAATAAGATAACACTTCAGAAGGGTCGGAAGTCACGGAAAGGTATTAAACATGAAGATGTGACATTTTATGCTGATTTAAATTGTTATAAAATCAAAACTCTAACCTCACGACGTGAATCCATTCTAACGTCATAATAAAAATGTTTTGGAACTACAAAAGTTTCAGGGTGAAATTTTGAAAAGTTACAATTTTCTAAAATTGGAGTTTTAATCTCAAAATTCCTGATTAATAAAAAAATGAACTTGAAATCAAAGCTCCAGCTATAGAATCAAGATAGAAACGAACAATTTTTTTTTCAGAATTTCATCATTTATATACAAAATTTCGCAATTTTCGAACCAAGAGACATGGAACTATAGTCCATTTCTCAACGCGGCCAGTAAAAAGTCCATTTGCTTCAATCACACGACAAAAGAGCACAAACTTAATTATCTAGTTTTCCCTTTTCTTTCCCACTAATGGCTCTTTCAATTATCTCGCGTCATTCTTTTTTTTTTTACTTTTTTCAGTCAACAATGTTAGTTCCAGAGTAAATATCTCATTTTCCAGCAAAGATAGAATGAATCTGTCAACTAAGAAAATTTGTAAATTGAAATTTCTTTTAATCCCATATCTAGATAATTACCTAGTTCTAATTAGTGTCTACTTTGTGTATCTTATCTCGTCGTGACGGTCTATCATTTGAACTTCTATCTTCCATCTATCTGTCGTTTTCTCATGATGGATCATAATTATACATACACGTGCCTTTGATCTAAAGATGTCAAGCATACAAAAAGTGATAGAGTATAATGAGAAGAGAGACGCAGAGATTCGAGTAGTGGTCAGCAACGATTCACGTGCGTCGCGCGCAGAAACCCTCGCTTTTTTCGTTGACATGAAAGAAGAAGAAGACTTGTGGCGGTGGTGGTGGAAGAAGAAGAAAAAGGATAGACTCGGAGGAAGATGAAGAGGAGAGCGAGGGAGGAACCAAAGAAAATAATGGCCAGCTGGGCGAAAGGTGACGACACTTGTGAATTTTTTTTTTATGTTGTGTGTCTGGCTATTTTTAGAGGGTGAAGCTTCAAAAAAATGATGCATAAGGTGTGTCAGTTCAAGAGTTTGAAATTGAAAATTTCGGAACACATAGGATTATTTGTACACATTTTAACAACGCTTCGTATTTTTTTTTCAGACAACTCCCAAAAGATTTAAATTGAAAATTCCTAAAAATTCTGAATGTGGGGCGATTTCTGAATAGCAAGAAGTTTGAAAACAATGAAGGAACACCAAAAATTCCACAAACCTGAAACTCCAGAAATGTTATAATTTTCAAGATGTTTCAAAATTAGAGTTCAGAAGAATATTTGGAATTTACTATCATCTCAAAAAGTTCGGGAACTTAGAAAGTCCAAAATGGAAAGATTTTTCCGAAATGGAAAGATTTCTCATAGTCAGTCATCCTTTTATAAATTTTAAAAAATCCTCCAAATAAAGTTTCGACGTCCACAACTGATAATTCCTCACAACTTTCCTCCCACATCTGAACTTCGACCCACAGGTGATTTGCTATTTGCAGGAGTAAGACAAAAAAACCGATCCAATTTCCAGCGAATTTTCGTTCAATTTTGCACGTCCCCTTGTGATAATCACATGATTTACTGTGTACTTAGTACTCATTTCAGGTTTGCAGACGCCCCCAAAAAATAAACAAAATGGTTTTTCATTCACTATTCTTTGTTCCCTTCAATTTTTATCATTGTTTAAATGTTTTGTTTTCTATTTACCTCTTGTTCCCAATTTCAAACATACTGCCTCCAAAAAACTGATGACTGTGAGACAGACGACGTCGTTGATAAAGGGATTTTGGTGGAGAATGTTCAGGGGAGTGATATTCTAGAAATTAGAGAGGTATTCGGGTAATAATAAAAATTAACTCACGACTTCTCGACTTTTTCTCCTGATTTCTATTTTTACCCCTTCTCGAAGAAATTTTCAAGTTTTTGAGATCCTCATACAGATGCGCTGCTGAGTTCCAGCGAATTGCGCTGAAAAATTTCCTCTGAAACTTCTGAATTCCTGAAAAACCAAACTCACTCTTTTCTCAAATAATCTGGAGCGGCTTCCAGTGTTTCTTCAGTCAGACTGGAAATTATACAATCGCATCGGATTGTACAGGAACAGTTGGGCATCTGAAAAAAATATTCCATAGATTATCAATTCTAAAAAACAAAGAAATTAAGGGCATTTATTGTGTCTTTTTCAGAACTAGTAGGTTTTAGGTAATTTTAAGATTTTAAGGACAAGTAGGAAAACTCTTAAATTTGGATTTTTCAGAACTTTTTTGGAAGTTGAAGAATTCTTACGTTTTTCAGCTCAACTCTAGTTTTTCCCAAAAAATGGTGAAATGTTCTGCTGGAAGAGCTCATAGTAAGGCTTCTTGGTGTGAAAATGTGCACATTGCTCAGAAAAAAATCAGAAGAAAATAGGCGGAGCTTATAATCAATGGATTAGAGCATACAAAAAACATTTGAAAATAGAGGGGATTAATGCCAAAAATTTCAGATACAATTTTTTGTTTTCAGCTGTATCAAAGAGATCATAACACTTTTTTTAGGATTTTGCATGTCTACAAAAAACTCGATCGAATTATTAATTTTTTTCTGAGTTTTTTCTAGGATCAAAATTTTTGATACTTTGATCTATCTCTTCACATCAAACATCACACATTTTCTTATCATACCTTATATTACTGACTTCTAAAGATAACACTGTATTTACCTTTAAAGATTGATGACGTTTTAGAGAACAAGGAATACTTGAGGCTTTTTTCAAAAATGGAAAAATCAAAAAAAGAGTGGGTTGATAGGAAGAAAAATTATGTACGAGTTAGGTATCAGAATTCGTTTAGTATGACCATAACATCAACAGAATTTTGGAGTTTTTCTATGTCATAGGGTACATTTTCCAACATCATAAAACCAATTTCCAAATCTCCAGAATTCCAATGAAAGTCAATTTCCAATAAAAAATCCAAAAAAAATCTCCAAGAGATGCTCAAAACAACTTTTGGAGAATACAAATAGAGGAAGAAGAAATTCCAAAAAAAACGAAATAACGGAAGAGGTCGCCATTTTTCCATGATTAAAGAACGATGTTTGGTCAAAAATGGGGGAGTAAAACGCACGGAAATAACTTGCGAAAATAGGAAAAAATGAATATCAAAGATTTTATCTGGAATAGGCAAAGAACTCAAAAACAAATAAAAATTGAAAATTCGGAAATTCAGAAAAAAAGTGAGAAGCTCACAAAATAAGAAAAAAGAATGAGAGAGAAAAGTTTAAGAGCAACAGCTCTCCTGATCAAATAGCGTGTGTTTGCATGCTCATTGCAGCGGAAATATTAAGAAGATGTGCTCAAAAAAAACGTGAAAATATTTTCTTATTTCAAGAAGAAGAAGAAGCAAGAGATTTATCTCAATTAGTTTCAATTCATCTTTTTTTCTGGAGATGGAAAAATAAACTTTATTCAGAGAAAAAAAATATATTCAAATGAGAAAAAAAGGAAAATAACTCATAGAAATTTTTTTCGGAATTCTCAACTACCGTTAAACCTGTATTAGAAGGGCCGGTCTTTCTATTGTCCCAAGGTACCGCCGGAGGGCCCTTCTATTACAGGGACCCTATAATTAGAGGGGTCCTTCTATTTTGCCGGCGATTTTTCCCGACATTTTTCATTGAAAAATTCATGAAAATCTATCGATTTCTCCAAAATTTTTCCAAGTCCCTATCAAAGGACCCTTCTATTAGTGGGGCCCATATATTAAAGGGGCCCTTCTATTACATGTTTTACGGTAGACAATAATTCAATCAAAACAACAGAAAATCAAAAGGGCGCTTCAATTAGAGGGGGTACTTCAAATAGAGGGGCCCTTCTAATACAGGTTTTACAGTATTCGGAATCTCTGAATTCAGAGAGTTGTTGAGTTTGTTGGAAATGTTAGCATACAGTAAATTTTTAAAACTCTGAATGAAATTTTTTCCGAGAAATTTCTGAATCACCTAAACTTTCTGGAATTAGAATGTACTATTAATGAGTGGGGATATTTTCCCACTCATGGAAGACATCAAGCACGCATATTCCAGATTTCTGATCGTTTTGTAATGACTCAGAGTACATATATAGTCTTGCGGGTTCTAGACACCCACAAAAACCGAAAATTCAGAAATCGAGAATACCGAGTATAAACCACATAGAAATACAAAAATAGGTATAAAAAGAGCTTTTCAAATTTTTGGTATCTCTTTATTCTTGTTAACTCGTTTGTGTTCTCTCGAACGAAAATGAACAACATCATTAAGTATGGCTCTATTTCTGCTATTCCGCTCTATAATTGCAGGTGAGTCTGAAATTTCAAGCTTTTTTTAATGTCATTTGAATGTTTGAAATGAGTGGATTCTGGCAATATAATTTATGACTTTTAACTGTTATCCTTTCACTGATTTGTAAAGAATAGGTAGATCCCCCTTGAACCTAACTGTAATTGTTTTTCGACCATACCCAAAAACAAATCTTCCAGCGCTCACTCTCCTGAAGAATGGTCTCAAAAAGATGGAGTCCAGCGTCCAATTGTTGGAATCATCGAAATGACTTACGGCATTGTCGTAAACCTTCTCTACATCCCAATGATTTCCGTGATGATGGAGAAAGAGCAATTCAAAATGTCTTGCTTCAAAATCATGACTTTCTTGACTATTATAGATATTTTTGCATTGACGGTCAATTCAATCATAACGGGATTCCTGTCCTATCATGGTGCCGTATATTGTACCTATCCTAACTTTATCTACATTTCCGGAATGGCCGGATTGGGTCTTTGGTGTTGTTCTTGTATTATCGCAATGTCTTTGGTGACAAATCGTCTCTTGGATTTGATTTGTCCATCAGTGGGAGCATTCTTCTTCGATGGAAATCGCACATTTCTTGTTTTGACTTTACCAGTGATTTATGGATTGTATTTTGTGTTTTTCACAACTCCAATTGCTTTTTCTTCGAAATATCTGACTTGGTTCTTTGATCCACTTATTTTTGAAGGAAAGCAGTCGGAGGTAAGATGTGGTCAAAAAACCAAAAGTTTGTCTGGAGCTATAACGATGCGACTAAGATTGAGATTGAGAGATTTTTAAAATTAAGTTTGTTTCAGTACTCCAACTTTCCTCACTTTTTCAACAACATCATGGTTGTTGCATTCACCTGCTGCCTCTACATGGTCTTCTGTTGCGCCCTAGGGACCAAACTCAAAAACGTGGACGCTGGCTCGGCGGCTCAAAAAACAAGCACCCAAATATTCTTTCAATCTGCAATGATTTGTGCAGTCAATCAAGTGGCTTCAGTGATTTATGTGTCAATGAATTTCATCGATGTCCCGTTCTGGCTTATTGTTCTTGGACACGTTCTATGGGAGTTGGGACATGGTGCACCTGCGTTTATTTATATGAACTTTAACAGAACTTTAAGAAATGGGATACTGAGAAAATTGGGGTTGAAGGTAGGTCAAACGTTTTTCAATCGTGGATAAATTAACCATTTGGTCTTTTAGAAGTCGAAAGTCAACACTAGTACTGCTCATCACAGTGGACGGACTAATGTCAGCATTGCTCACTAAATTCTCTGAAACCTTCGTACTGAATATTTCTCAACCAATAACGAAATAATTCATTTCAATCAGATAATTATTTTTGTTTTCCTGATTTACCTTGAACTTCATAAATATTTCTGTATTTCTTATCTTACTAGATTTTTAAAGTTCTATTAAACTGAGCTTCAAGTTCCTGAAGGAATCATCCGGTAATTTTCTAAATCCGTAGAATTTCAAAAATAATATTTTTATTCTGAAAAACGTTTTCAAAAAGTTCAATGAGTAGTGGAAGAAGTCGAAAAATTCTTCCCAGTCAATAGCGTTTCTTCTGAATTTGATCCACTTTTTCTGGAAATTTCCTTTTTTGTTTTCTCGTTTCTCGATTCTCCAAAGTTTTCAATTTCCTTGTCCTTTCTCCATAGATACAGTAATCCCAGGAAAAATACAATAACGAAAATGGCAGCTCCTACTCCAATCAATGTGTACATGGCAGTGCTGAAAAAATATTTCAGGTATTAATTAGTTATTTAGTACAGTTATAAACTGCTTGAATCACTCACTAGTCTTTATTCCTCTCTTTGGCAATTATCGGGTCATAAATTTTTGTATCGTAATCCACAAAGAACACATTCAATGCTTGCATTGTTCCGTTTACCTCCTTGAAAATTTTTGAGTATCTTGAAAAATTCAAACCAATTTCGTTCATCTCATCGACAACTGTTTCAATGTCCTGAAATGAATTCGGGGGGTTTGAAGTCTTTTTTGTAATGTTTCCTCACTTTTAACTTTTCCCTAACTTCCTCGTCACCCACTCCAGCAATCAAATTATTCAAAGAAATTGCGATGTTTGAAAAATTCAATTCAATTCCAGTCACCAATTGTGCATTTTCAAAGATTTTTGAATAGTTAAGTAAATTTGTAGAATTATCTTCAATGAAACTTGAAAACTTCCATGTGTTCAGTGTCGAGTACATAGCTTCCAAATGCGGACCCATTTTCGCTAACTCTTCCAGATTTTTCTGGTCTTCTTGACTCGAATTCCCTATCAACTGCGCCGTGATTATTGATAATTTTGGAATAATTTGTTGAAACTCTGGTTCTTCTTGAATTGCCAATCTCATAGAAATCACCCCCTGAACAGCATATCCAAGAATCTCTGAATGCCTCAAAGAACCCGAAAAGTGCTTGAGAGCTTCAGTTTCCAGATTTTTATTGAATTTCATTGTTTTGATAGAAGTGTTCAAGCTTTTCAGACCACTTTGGGCCTCTTTGAATCTTTTCAAGCCTTTGATCATACTTTCATAGTCTTGAATAGCCAGATTTTGAGCCAGAAAGCAAGCGGATTTGGAGGAGATTTCCGTGAAGTTACAGATCGTCAATTCCATTTTTTTGGCCACTAATTCTTTCAAATCTTGATAAACTTCGAAAACTATATTCTTCTGCTCCTCCGTGAAATTTAATTGCTCACTTATATTTTTAATTACCACTCCCAGGCCAATTAGAGGTTTTATGGAAAACTCCAAAGACTTCGTACGAACTATTGCTTGAAGCCATGGATCCTCAAAGTCTTTGGATAACATAATTAAGTCATGATAGCCATTAGGAAAACCAAAAGTGTGAACAATCGGTTTCATAGCTCGTGGGTTAATTATCTGGATAACTAACAATCGCAAATTGAGGAAGCTTGACTTATTGAGAAGTCTTGGGTTCTGCAGAAATTCTAGAACTTTTCGGATAGTCTCAGAAGAAATACTTGAATTTTCAGCACTTGTAACATTAACATTTTGACTCGTAGAGTTTGCAAAAGTCTGAGTCTTTTCCAACGCTTCAAAAATCGCTTCGATTTTTTCAACATCGATTTTTTCAACTTTATCAATCTCCACGGATTGCAAAAGTTCCGAAATCAGATTATCTGTTGGAATGATACCGTCCATTATTCCTTTTTGAAGATAAATTCCGTTTGTGACCCGAGCAATCATTGTCAAACGATCCAGAGATTGATTCATGAGGTTTTCTGAAAATTTTGAAGATTTTGGAAATCTTGAAAATTTAAAAAAAGATTTTTTTAAACCTTTGAAAAAGCTACAATTCTCTTACCATTAAATTTTCTTTTTTGCTCATTATTGTTGAAGTTCGAATCTAGATTGACATTGGTAACTGAAAAACATTTCGACAAATTTCTAACTGTTTTTTTTTTCTAACTCACCGGTTATAATTTTGCATAAAAATGCTATGAGACTGACTGTGATTATGTCTAAAAGTTTTTTTCAATTTTCAGAAAAACTGAATTTTTCAGAAAAACTATTTTTTTTTTAATTTTTCAGAAAAAAAAGAAAAAAATTTTTCAGAAAAACTGAAAAAAATTGGAAACTAACTCATGTTGAACCGGTTAAGGACTGATTATGAAATTGGCTTATTGACTTTCAAAATCCAAAGAAACTAGATCCACGAACCAGAAAAGAATTAGCTCATGTATTCACGTTTTGAATTTCTGAACTAAATTACAAAAACTATTTGACGGGTGTTCAGATATTAGAAAATAACTTTCCAGTTTCAGCAACAATTTTTCAAAAAAATGAATTTCAAAATATAGAGATTGAACACAACTTCGAAGAATCTCTTGAAATTCGAATTTTTCACTTTTTTCGAATTAGAAAACTGTATGCTCTAACACCCCTAAAATTTTTTCAGTGCACAACTTTTCTTTTATTTAAAAGATATTTCACTTTCTCAATAAACCATTATTTTTTCAAACTACGCTTTTCCAACCTTTTTCCTAAATGTGTCACTCAAGTCATTCAGCAATCAGAGATCTTCTTATCAGTTTCACATAAAGATACTAACTATTCTCCAACCTCAACCTCTTTGTTCTTCGTTATCTAACAACTTTGGACAAATTTGGAAATTTTAATCTATGGTCGTTTTGAGACAGTTTTTTCGGATGGCAGATTATGAAATTCAAGAATTACAGAAAACTTCAGTGGTCTAGAAATATGGATACCGTATTTCCTCTAGTAGAAACCCATGGGCATCTATTTTTCAACCTCTGTCTCAGGGTGGACCCTTTTAGAAAAAGTGAGAAACGAAGCGACGAACCATTTTTAAAAAATTGATTGAATCGCGCCGAAGGCGCACCAGCTTGGTTTTTCAATAATTCATTTTCAAATAATTTTTTAATCAAAAATTCAGAAATTTGACGATCCGGAAAATAAGATTTTTGAAATTCAGTGTTTTGGAGAATTCGAAATGTTCATTCTGCAGTTCTAACAAGGGAAGTGTTTTCAGAAAGGCGTTGAGAATTTGCTCAAAATTTCAGTACTGATAGTTTGAGATATCCGCAACACGATGACGAAAAAATCTAGGTCATAACCCCACCAGGAAGCTGAAAAACTTCGTCTGAAAATTCTGCCCGATTTGGGCGCCCACTTTCTCCCCTCTCCTATACGCCCTCCGCGCCAGAGGAAAATGTCGGTTGTGTGGTGTAGCGGTAAGAGGGTAACTCATTAGGTGAGACTCCGCTGGTTCGAACCCCACTGTGGTTAACTTTTTTTTTTGTTTTTTTTTCATACTTTTTTTTCAATATTTCGAAGATATAGAGGTACTGAATTTATCAAAATTTTATAAAATAGATCACACTCAATCCACAGTTGTGATGGTCAATGACAAAATGTTCGAAACAGAATAATTTTTCACAATAGAGACACTTCACAAACGATGTGCTGGAGCAACCATGCATTGTACAATCTCCAGCGACACCTCGTGGAAACAGAAGTTGTGCTGGAGTTTCGAAACTTGCTGGACGGGGCACATCGTATCCAGCTGCAACCCAAGCATATCGGGCCCACTTCTCGAGCTTCGGAGAGCACAGCTGCCGCCAGACGAGGGAGAGGAGCTGTAAACTCATTTTTTGAACTGTTTGACAAATAGGTAGCTGACCTTCAGAGTTTCATCCCTGGTTTGAAACTTGTAGTTGCTGTTGGTCAATTGGGCATAGTTGGTGAGCGTCTTCACAACTTTCTTGAAGGATCCAAAAATGCCAACATCACATGGTTGGATACGCCCAGTGCATCCAGCAGGAATCGTCAATAATTTCAACTTGTGGAATGAAGGGGTGACCGAATCGATGGCGGCAGTGTCTTTCCAGCTGTTCCACGAATCTACAATGAGAAGAGCATCCTTCGGCATAGACGAGTCGAACACGATTTTTTGAAAGAAGACTTTCATAAGTTCTTTCGTCATGATATGGCTAGTATGGCAAGTAACTTCAAGATTTGAAGCTTGGAAATGGCCTTTTTGTGGGAATCGCCCTTTTGGTTCTTTCAGCGTCACAAATAATTTGGGATGAAGCTTGCCAGATGCCGAAATCAACGGGAGTACTGTGTAAGAATGTGTCGTCGACGATTCACTTCCAACAACGCAATGGACGTTTCTCGATCCTTTCAAAGTGAGAGTTCGAGCCGTATGCATCTCGATCTGGAATCCGGATTGGTCCGCATTGTATATATTGGATGGATGATACAATGGAAAAACTTGGTTAGCAGCAGTCACAAATTCCTTGGAATCCTTCTCAATCTGATCGCGCGTTTTGTGACGAATCGTGGAAACAAATTTTGTGATCTTCCTAGAAGTGATTCCAAACCGAGCTTTCCAACCATTCAACCAGCTTTCCGATCCAATGAAATTTTCGATGTCGATTTTGTATTTCTTGATGATCCCAGCAATCAAAAAACGGAGAACCGAGTCGTGGAGTATTTTTCCGTTTTCAATATGCATCCTAACTTCTTTCTCGAGCTCCATCGAAATGAACTCCAAATTGCTCTTCCTATTTGCTTTGGTGGAGCCTTAAAATATCTATTTCAAAAAAAAAACAACAAGAAGTTTTTACCCAGAGTCTCGTACTCCCGAAGTTTGTCCATATGGTTGCGGTTTCTGATAAATCGAAATTTAGTGTGAACTTGTTCCAAACTTGGACGGACTTTTGATCCATTATTTTTCAATCCCGTTTTTGATCCAAAATAAACGACCGCTTCCTTGACTTTGTCTAACTCCACAAACTCTCCGTTCGCAAATTGGATCATATTTGGATTTCCAGGAAGATGAACAACATCGGGATACATTTGGATTTTGTGGCATTCATCGTCCTCTGGAGTCCAACCTAACCGTAACATATGTATATGTAATGATTCACTGAACTGAAACTTACTCAAATTCTGTAGATCGTCTTCAAAATTTGAAAGGTGCTGTTCCATTTCAATATCAAAGTCTCCCTTATCGATCGATTCACCGAGGTCAATCAAATAAGCCGCGAGCTTGAGATCCTCTTCATCCAATGGCTGACGCTTAGGATTGACTCCCAGATCCAGAATGTATGTCAAAATGCGACGAAACTTCGACATCAGCAAGACAATTAATAGTTATGAATACGAAAAAAAAAATAGAAAAACAGGAACAAATGAAAAATATCGCCTTTTATAGCAATTTTCTGCTGATTCCAGAACTTTCTGCGAGTTGGAATACAAATCCATGCTCTACTGATAACTTCTGATTGTTAGAAAAACATGAAAAAAAAACAAAAAAAAAAAGTTAACCACAGTGGGGTTCGAACCAGCGGAGTCTCACCTAATGAGTTACCCTCTTACCGCTACACCACACAACCGACATTTTCCTCTGTCGCGGAGGGCGTATAGGAGAGGGGAGAAAGTGGGCGCCCAAATCGGGCAGAATTTTCAGACGAAGTTTTTCAGCTTCCTGGTGGGGTTATGACCTAGATTTTTTCGTCATCGTGTTGCGGATATCTCAAACTATCAGTACTGAAATTTTGAGCAAATTCTCAACGCCTTTCTGAAAACACTTCCCTTGTAAGTTACAAAATTCCGAATTTATAAAGTTATGAGATTCCAAGATCTCAAAATTCTAATTTCAAGAATTTTAAAATTCTACACGAAAAATTCGAAAAAACTGAAACTCCGAAATTTAGAAATTAGAAAATTCAAAAATTGAGAAATTCAAACATTGAAAAATCACAGTCCCGAAAAATCTGGAATTCTGAATTACCCTATTTTTCTCTAATAGAAGAATTTTCTCTAATAGAAGCCCATGGGCTTCTATTAAAGAGTGTGCTTCTAAAAAAAAATCAACCTCGTTTCTTCCAAAAGGAAAATCTGGAAAAACTAACAGTTGAGAAGTTCTAAGTAACGGAAAGCTCTGGACAATCGGATATCCAAAAAACACAAATTTCAGGAAAAACTTTAAAATAGGATGACCTGTAACCATAAATGTTGAAACTCGAAAAATTCAGAAATGACAGAATGGATTATTGAGTACCAAATACTGCCGATTTTTAAAACGCAAAGAATTTGAATACCGGTCCTAATACTAAAATTGAACTACCTGAGCTTGGAAAAGGCAAAGAAGTCGTTTGCAAAGTCTTTATTTTGGATGTTCAAGTACACAATGTCCCTGAAAACTATCTCATAGAACTGGAATTCCCAAAATTTTCCTGTTTTATCACCTCCGTTTCCGATAAAAAGCGTGTTCAGAACCGTGCTCTCTTCTCCTCTTCCCGTGAATTGACTTGTCTGAAAAAAAGTGTGTCGTAACTTTCTATTCTTTGTTTCATCATCTTATCAAACTGCAAAACGGAAAAGTTCGTATGATTTTGAAATACAGTGAATTAGCTTCAAATTTTTTGACTTATAACTTTTCGACCTCCTGCCTCAAACCTTAAAATACAGTTAGGGTAAATAAAACAAGGTGGAGAGAGAGAGAGAGAGAGAGAGAGAGAGAGAGAGAGAAGTACACAGAAAACTGCTCAAAGTGTCTATATGATAGGGGCAGAAAAAAAGAAGATAACTCTACTCCGACCCGTGTGGTTTGTGCCGTATGGGTTACGGAAAAATGCGGAGTTTATGCTGTAGAAATTTGGGTTGGTTGTAAAATAAAATTGTGCGCATTTTTTAGATATATATATATATATAAAGAATGAAACATGGTCGACGATAAGAGAGCCTTTGTTCTAGGTCCGGATATTTCAAATTTGGAACTCATATTTGTTTTTTCTGAAGCTTCAATTTTCAACAGCTTTGAGTTCGACTTTGAATTTTTCAATTTGAAATGTTATGTATACTATTTTGATACTCCTACTTGCCAATTTTTGCTCGAGCTTTCAACTTTCTCTGTTAAGCTTGAACTACTTTTAGGACCCATAAAATACGTTTGTGTACCACAACCACCACATGTCGTTCTTTTTTCACATTTCCTTTTTGTAATTAGAATTTTTTCTCTAAAGCTTTTTTTCCTAAGATTTGGCTCAGATTTAAAAAAAAAACGTTTAAAATCACACAGAGGAAGTCTCAAAGTCAAAATGCTGAAAAAAGAAGTGACTAGTGCAAAAAAAAGAAACAAACGCGCTCCACTGAACTTGGTCCTTCAGAGAGGGGATTTATGTCAGCCCTTGTTAAGAGATAGTTCTTTAATGAGTTTTCAGTGTTAAAATTTTCGACTTGGTTATTATCCAAATTTGATTTTCATTTTGATATTTGAAGTTTATTTTATTTTGTAAAGTTTGAAAAAATAGAATCCTTGAAGGATTTCGAATCTGAAGGTTTTTTTCCCGAACAACAATTATGGATATATTTTTCATAAAGTTTTTCACAATTGCACATCATCTAAGATTATCTAAAAAAGTGCATCATGAAATGCAGAGTTTATGCTCCTTGTATAAAGCACGCGTGCTCTATGCTCCTATAAAAGTGGGAGAGAACAAACGGAGAAACGCATTCTCTCTTGATGATGAATAAACTAGAGAGAAGGAGTAGAGTCTGAAATACGATATCTGTAAGAAATAATATGTTTCGCAATATTTTATGCATGATCATTCGATTCTTGTGCAAATTTCTGAATCAAAATTTGCATCATATCAACAGTTGATATCATAAGTTAGGGAGTATATAAGCAATCCCAGTTCCAGTTTGTAGCAAAAAGAGATTCTAGTAAGGGTAATATATTTTTGAAGGTATTTTTTCGAAAGCTTTTTTTCGGATTAATCTGCCACATCACTGGACCATGGAATGGCATTTTTTGTTAAAAAAATGATCTCACAGGCTTTCTGTTTTTTTGAAAATAGTTTGTATAGTACAAACCATGGTATGCAAATTTCGGAAAATAAAAAAAAAACGTGCTCCTTTTCTCTCAAAACCGTGTCGGCACCCATCTTTGATTTTTCGATTCCGTGCCCACCCAACAAGCACACACAAACCAAAAAGTTTGTATGTTTGCTGACCGAACGGCATTTTCTCTTCTACTCCCTTATTTTCTCCTACACTTTTGTTTCAAACAAACTAGAGATCTTTATATATTTCTCAATTTCCCTCATTTTCTTCTATTGTGTACCCAAGTCAGAGTCGCGATAAAAATATTTCACCGTCGGTGTCAACTGATAAAGGAATTCTTTTTCGGCTCATTTTTTCTTTCAATTTCAGTCCACAGAGTCTACTTCTCATATGTTTTTTAGGAACTCGTTTCTTTTTTAGATTGTATTAAGATTTATCCCAAAAATTCTCCAATTTTCAGGTAATGGGTCTGTTCAAGAAAAAGAAGGATGACTCTTCCTCCGAGGGGTAGGTTAATTTTCATGCTTGTTTCGAGGCCTACAGTAGTGGGGTTTATCAAAAACTTTATTTTCAGATCAGAGAAAAAAGAGGAAGCTCCTCCACCGCCAAAGATCTCAATTTTCCAACTCTTCCGATACACATCCACTATGGATCGGATTATGTTGATTGTTGGAATTCTCGTATCTTGTGCAACTGGTCTAGGTCTTCCATTGATGTCAATTATTATGGTAAAACTTTGAGACAGAGAACTTCGCCGTAATTTCCAATAATCAAATTTTCAGGGTAACGTCTCCCAAAACTTCGTGGAAATCGGAACAATTCTTATGAACAGTACGGATCCTGCTGTCATCAAAAAAGCCAAGGATGATTTTTCTCATGATGTGATTCAAAATTGCCTCCAATACGTGTATCTTGGAGCTGGAATCTTTGCAGCTGGTATGATTCAGGTAAGATACTCTTGACCTAATTTTATCCAAAGTTATGTTGTGATTCTTTTTCTGGAATTTTTTTTGCACTGTTTATTTCAATATACTGTATTCAAACTGTTGCAGGCCTCTTGCTTCCTGATCATTTGTGAGAATCTGTCCAATAGATTCCGTCGCGAGTTCTTCTACTCTGTTATGCGACACGAGATCGCATGGTATGATAAGAACACATCAGGAACGTTATCGAACAAACTTTTTGAGTGAGTACCTATCAAAGTTTGTGATCTTTGACAGATCTGAATTTCAGCAATCTAGAAAGAGTTCGCGAAGGAACTGGAGATAAAGTTGGTCTAGCTTTCCAAATGATGGCTCAATTCCTCGGAGGATTCGCAGTGGCTTTCAGCTACGATTGGTTGCTCACTCTTATCATGATGTCTTTATCACCATTCATGATGATTTGCGGTCTGTTCCTCGCCAAACTTCTCGCCACAGCAGCTACCAAGGAAGCAAAGCAGTATGCAGTAGCTGGAGGAATTGCAGAAGAAGTCTTGACTTCTATCCGAACTGTGATCGCTTTCAACGGCCAGGAATATGAGTGTAAACGATACGAGGAAGCTTTATCTCATGGAAGAAAAACAGGAATCAAAAAATCATTTTTGATCGGTGCTGGACTAGCTTCCTTCTTTGTCATAATCTACGCCTCCTACTGTCTCGCCTTCTGGGTCGGAACTAACTTTGTTTATAACGGAAGACTCGATAGTGGAACTGTACTCACTGTCTTCTTTTCCGTTATGATGGGATCTATGGCTTTGGGACAAGCTGGACAACAGTTTGCCACTATTGGTACAGCATTGGGAGCCGCTGCCTCCCTCTATGAGGTTATTGACAGAACGCCAGAAATTGATGCATATTCTACGAAAGGAGTGACACCGGAGAAGATTTCTGGAAGAATCAAGATTCAGAATATTGAGTTTACCTACCCAACTCGTCCGGATGTTCAGATCCTGAAAGATGTCTCCCTCGAAGCTCAACCAGGTCAGACCATCGCACTGGTTGGATCATCAGGATGTGGAAAGTCGACTATTATTCAGCTTCTTCAAAGATTTTACAACCCAGACGCTGGTAAAATCTATATCGACGACATTGCCATTGAAGACTTCAACATCAAGTATCTCCGTCAGTTAGTAGGAGTAGTTAGTCAGGAGCCAAATCTTTTCAATACATCTATCGAACAGAATATCAGATATGGAAGAGCCGATGTGGATTCTGATGCTATTAACCGTGCGCTCAAGGAAGCCAACGCTCTAGATTTCATAAAAACTTTCCCAGAGGGACTTAACACTCTTGTTGGAGATCGTGGAGTTCAGATGTCAGGAGGTCAGAAGCAACGTATCGCTATTGCTCGTGCATTGGTCAGAAACCCAAAGATATTGCTTCTTGATGAAGCTACCAGCGCTCTGGATGCTGAGTCTGAAAGTGTTGTTCAAGCTGCTCTAGACAATGCGTCCCGAGGAAGAACCACAATTGTGATTGCTCATCGTCTGTCGACAGTCAGAAACGCTGATAAAATTATTGTCATGAAAGCCGGAAAAGTAATGGAAATTGGAACTCATGATACTCTGATCGAGCAGAAGGGACTGTACCACGAGCTGGTTCATGCTCAAGTCTTTGCTGATGTAGATGAGAAGCCAAGAGCCAAGAAGGAAGCAGAACGTAGACTGTCTAGACAAACATCTGCCAGGAAGGGATCGTTGATCAAAACTCAAGAATCTCAAGCCGAAGAGAAATCTGGACCACCTCCTGCCCCAGAACCAGCCGAGAAGGAAATCAAGAGATTGAGAAAAGAGTTGGAGGAGGAAGGAGCTGTCAAGGCAAATCTATTCAAAATTCTTAAATACGCAAGGCCAGAATGGATGTATATCTTTTTTGCCATTATCGCCGCTCTCATCCAAGGAGCTGTAATGCCTGCATTCTCTCTGTTCTTCTCTCAAATCATCAACGTGTTCTCTAACCCTGACAGAGAGCAGATGAAAAAAGATGGACATTTCTGGGCACTCATGTTCTTGGTTTTGGCAGCTATTCAGGGAACGTCTATGCTTTTCCAGTGCGCCTTCTTTGGAGTGGCCGCCGAAGGATTAACAATGAGAGTTAGATCCAAAGTTTATAGGTGAGTTTTCAGTATCTAGCGATGTATTTCTATGAACATTGACCAAGCCACTGCTGAGCTCCCTAATGAATCTAATTTTCCAGAAACGTTCTCCGCCAAGATGCAACCTACTTCGATATGCCAAAACACTCTCCAGGACGTATCACCACTCGTTTGGCTACTGATGCCCCCAATATCAAATCTGCAATCGACTATCGTCTTGGATCAGTCTTCAACGCAATTGCTTCTGTCGGAGGAGGTCTTGGAATTGCATTCTATTATGGCTGGCAGATGGCATTGCTTGTTATGGCCATATTCCCATTCATGGCTGTAGGACAGGCCCTTGTGATCAAATACCATGGAGGATCCGCTACAGCTGACGCTAAAGAAATGGAGAATTCCGGAAAAACTGCAATGGAAGCTATTGAAAATATCCGAACAGTTCAAGCTCTTACACTTCAAACCAAGCTGTACAACATATTCTGTTCTCATCTAGACTCCCCACATAGTGGGAATGTGTCAAAGGCAATCATCAGAGGTTTAACCTACGGCTTTGCCAATTCCATTCAATTCTTTACCTATGCCGCTGCATTCCGTTTCGGCCTCTTCCTCATATTCAACCAGAATGTACTAATGAGTCCGGAACATGTGCTCAAGGTCCTTTTTGCTATTTCCTTCTCATTCGGAACTATTGGATTTGCCGCTTCCTACTTCCCAGAATACATCAAAGCAACGTTTGCCGCTGGATTGATTTTCAATATGTTAGAAGAAGAACCAAGAATCGATGGAATGACTAACGCTGGAACACTCCCAGCTCTCAGCGGAGAAGTGAAACTGAATAAAGTCTTCTTCCGATACCCCGAAAGACCAGCAGTCCCAATCCTCCAAGGCCTAGATGTACATGTCAAACCAGGACAAACCCTCGCGTTGGTTGGACCAAGTGGTTGTGGAAAGAGTACTGTCATCTCGCTTCTGGAGAGACTCTATGATCCATTGGAAGGTGCAGTGGTAAGTTTTTCCGTTTATTTAGTGGTTCGTATCAATCACCCAATTACATTTCAGACCATTGACAACAATAACCTTCGACAAATGAATCCAAAGCATTTGCGTAAGCATATCGCATTGGTGTCCCAGGAGCCAATTCTGTTTGATACCTCGATTCGGGAAAACATCATCTACGGTCTTCAACCTGGAGAATATACAGAAGAAGCTATTGCAGTGGCTTGTGAGAAAGCCAATATCCATAAATTTATTTCGGAATTGCCAGATGTGAGTTTTAGAGAATTTTCAGATTTTTTTTTCAAAAACCGAGAAATTTATTTAAGTCTATTCAAGTTTGAAAATGCTACTAGAACTTCAAATTTTTTCAACACTAATTTTATTCCCTAACATTTTCAGGGCTATCAAACTCGTGTCGGAGAGAAAGGAACCCAATTATCCGGTGGGCAAAAACAGCGTATCGCCATCGCTCGTGCTCTCATCAGAAATCCAAAAATCCTGCTTCTCGATGAGGCAACCAGTGCTTTGGATACAGAAAGTGAGAAACAAGTACAAATCGCTTTGGATGCAGCCGCCAAGGATCGTACATGTATTGTGGTTGCTCATCGGTTGTCAACAATTGTAAATGCTGGATGCATTATGGTAGTGAAGAATGGAAAAGTTGTGGAGCAAGGTTGGTAGTGAACATAATTAGGCTAAAATTATTGTTTCATTTTTCAGGTACGCATTTGGAACTAATGGCCAAACGAGGTGCTTACTTTGCGCTGACACAGAAGCAGTCCATAAATCAAGCCGGTGGAGAGTTCGATACTGGAGTCGCTGTGGAGGATGATGATGATGATAATGTGAAATTCTAAAAAAAATGTATTTTGTATCTGAAATTCCAAAAAACTATGATAAGGATCTCTTGTTTTGTGCCTTGTGTGATTTTTTGTTCATGAAATTTCTCTTTGTATTTTTTTTAAATAAAAGTTTTTGAACCTAGTCTTGTTTATAATTTGAAAAGAAAATGTTTAGAAAAACTACAAAACTTGGCTCCACATTGTTTCCTCCTGATGATATATTCCATGTGTACGCTGAGGCTTTTAGATTGATCCAAAAACTCTGAACCCCAGAAATATGCCCTTTTGTCCTACTTATAAAAAACCTTCTTTTTTCTATTTATTTTTTTTTCTTTCCGCCAGTTGTCTAAACCTCTCCATTTCCCACATTGTCTTGTTCCTCGACACAAAATGTGTGTCGGACACACATTTCGTTCCTTCAGACACACATAAAATGGGAAAAGTGAAAAAGATGATCTCATTTTTTAGTCAAAACAAAATTTTTTGGAATCACCGGATTCGTTCCTCTAGTTAATTGGTAGGCTTATAATTTTTGGATTTGTCACAACTTTTGCGCTCGAAATATGAAAAATATGATTCAAGGATATTTGAAATCAAAAACCAAAAAATATTGAAGCGAATCTAAGCGAATTTCAAACATTTTGTCAGCCTAAAAAAGTTCTAATTGTTCTAATTCAAAATTTGTAGAAATTGAGAAATCCTGAAAATACAAAAACGTTCGGAAAACTATTTTTGGTTCGAAAAAGGTGCTGATAGTTTTTTTTTAGTTTTCAGTTCTTCAAAAATGTTCAAAAAATTATTTTTCACATTACAATTAACATTTTTAGAAGATTTCAAAGTTGCTAATTTTTTTTTAATACTAGGAACATTTCCTTTTTCGGGAACCTAATGAACTTTTAGAATCAAAAACTTTACTTGAACCTCTAAAAAACAAATTGGTCGCTTTTTATGTAAATTGCTCAAACTCTGGCCCCTTCGCCACTTTCTTCACCTGCTTTTTTCTCTTATTGCTCATCATTCAATCATCAAACATCTTGTGTTTTGATGTACTCCCCAAAAATGGGTGCCTAAAAAAGAAGAAAAAACATTACGTCATGTATAATTTTTTGTGTTTACTATTAGAGGCGGAGTCAATACGGTTTAGGAAAGCGACTACTTAAACAAGTTTGGAATTTTTGAATTTTCCGTTTCCAAATACAGCAAATATGATTTCCAAACTCGATTTAGCTTGTTTTCAGTGCTCGATACTCATAAAATGGCTGAAGTTCCCGTCCAAACTCCAGTGGTCACCTTCCAACCGGATGGTTCTAAAATTCATAATGTTTCTGGTCACAAATTCAAAGCAGTCCTTCTTCCTCAACCATGCTTCTGTTCCCAGTGTCATAAATTCATATATGGAATTGGAAAACAGGGATATCAATGTCAATGTGAGTTTTCCCAAACTTTTTCGTCACTCTTATATAGGCATAGTGAGAATCTCAAAATTGGCTACATAAAAAAAAATCGTTTCAGTATGCGACAAAGTAGTTCACAAAAAGTGCCACGCAGACGTCGCAGCACTATGCACTTGTGCTCCCCAGGTAACGTCTTCCGGATCTCCAGAATCCCCCCTACTGGAGGCTCAACCAAACATCCATAACTTCTCAGCGAGCTTCTATACGCTCCCAACGTTCTGTGGACACTGTGGATACTTACTGTACGGATGTGTCAAACAGGGAGTCCGATGTGCTGGTTGCCACGTGAATGTCCATCATCGGTGTCAGGAGAAGGCGACACAGAATTGCTCATCATAACAGTTTTGTGAAGCCTTAATTTTGTACTCTCTCCTGGCATAAGAATTGGCATAAGCTTCTTTCCTGCAAAATTCCCTATAAACTCTCCAATGTTCATTCTGTCGTTTCCTCATTCATTTATTCCGAAACGTCACATTATTTCTTTGACAAAAACATCTCACTTTCGAATAAAAATACAAAGCAGCCGGGTCTGTATCACAACAAAATACACTTCAGAATACACACTGGACTATGACACCTTCTTTTTGAGCATCCCGATTTTTGATGCTTCCCATAATTGCATTGTTTTCTATCTTCTCTTTTTTTCCCATGCGCGCGAGACTCTGTAATTCGATTTGGCACCACTTGTGAGAGATGACTAAGCGAACAACAATCATGCGCCGTGGGATTTATGATTTCTAGGGGGCGGAGCATCTTCAAGTGGGCGTGGCTCACATATAAAAGAAGGTCTATTGGCATCTATTCTTCAGTTGTTTTTCTACAAGTCATGTCCGTTGACTCGCAGCCCCAAGTCCCTGTTGTTATCCGCCAATCGGATGGATCAAAGATTCATGAGATCGCTGGCCACAAGTTCAAAGCCATTACTTTGGGACAACCTACGTTCTGCTCGTTCTGCACCAAGTTTATCTATGGAGTTGGAAAGCAGGGATACAAGTGTTTGGGTGAGTATATGTAATGCTATACAAAAGTTAAGAAGATTCGGAATATGTAACCTAATTGACCACTAAACTTTTGAATCACTTGCATATATCACTTTTTAAAACTTTTATTTCAGGCTGTGAGACCGTTGTCCACAAACGTTGTCACTCCTTCATCTCTGCTCGCTGCACTTTCGGCCCATCATCCCGTGCTCCTTTGATTCCAGAAGGTTCCCAAGAACAAGTGTATCGTCGGAACCGCTCGACTTCTATGGAACCTCCAGCAAACAACCACCACTTCACCAAACACTTTTACACCCGACCAACATTCTGTGATCATTGTGGAAGCATGTTGTATGGAATTCTGAAACAAGGCGTTCAGTGTACGGATTGTCATGCAAATGTTCATCATCGATGTCAAGATAAGGCGATGCACAATTGCGGAATTCAAGTTCAGTGAAGAGAAATCGAAATGGAAAATTAAATCATGTATTTTTATTGTACTCTGGAATCTTACAATCTGTATCATGGAATAAATCTTTTTTTTGTTGTAATGTTGACTTTTACCGATTCAAAATTAGTTTTAGGATTGTGTCAACTCGGCTTACAATAAATAAGTGAAAAAATCAAACAATTATTGAGAAAAAAAACCAATTATACAAAACTTATGTTTCCTGGTTTCCGGAACTTTTTTCTAATTGTAAGGTACATATTCTTTTCTATTCTTTCTTGAACCTCTCCAAACAATGTATTCAATTCTATGTATTCAGAGTGTTTAGTCATTTGCATTTTCAGCCAAACACACTTTTGATCTATGACGTCTGTTCTGTCCGAGGTTTTGTTCAAACCTTCTTTTTACTTTTATAGGAGACATTTTTCCTCTTTTCTCTCTATTAACCTATATTTTGAATTTTGAAAAATATTATCAATGGAACGACTTGAAGCGGAACCTAAATTGAGGTAATTAAACTTGCTAATTAGTCTTGATTATTTCAAAATTTTAAAGAAAACGTTCTACCAATGCCAGCATCTTAACGTTACCTGGATCTCGCGAGAACTCATTTTCTCGTTTAGCAGTCCAGAGAAGCACTTCTGTGGACGTTGTACCTAAGCACCGGGTTACATATGAAGACCAAAAAACTGAGGAAATCGACAAGATTAATCAGTATTACCAAAAAAATCATTACACGGTTACCGGAAACCAGGAGACTTTCAACAAACTGCCCAGAAATGTTTCAGCAAATCGATTCAAAGTTGACAAGGCTTCAATTAGTCATAAAAGTCAAAAAAGTATGCAAAAGTCGTTGGAAGCGGAACCAATGATTCCTGAGGAAAGGCGTAAGTAGGAAAGACGTTATTAACTGCCAAAATTGAGTGAATTTAAAAATTCTCAGATTTCGACAAATCCTTCTACTGGTTTGCTATGCATCGTAAAAAATTCGGGTTTCGTTATATTGCCTTACTGTTTTTGGCACTAGCTTATACACTTTTTGGAGCTACTGTGTTTTATTTGATAGAGGGAAATCATGAGCAATCGATTCTGAGAGTTCGGGAGCAGAATTTGGATAAACTGTTAGATGAGCTGGCAACGGTGCTCTCAGAGGCGGTGAATGATCCAGAACAGAGTTCAGAGCATCAGAGGATGAAGGATTTTATAAAAGTTTGTAAAGTTGAACTATTTGAGCATCAGCATAATCCAACTTCTTTCTAGATCTCGAAAGAAATTGACTTTTGAAAACTTAGTTTTAGGAATCCTACATTTCCCTTCAAAAACACGAGGAACAGTACAAGTGGAGCACTTACTATCGTTTGGAAAATCCAGATAACCTGAAATGGACATTTTCCAGTGCCTTCTTCTTTAGCATGAATGTTTATACAACTACTGGTTATGGAGAGTTTGAATTTCAGAAAAAAGTCCCATTTTATTGCTACTTTTCCAGGTTCCATCTCTGCTCAAACCATGAGTGGCCAGCTGTTCACTATGATTTATGCATTTTGTTTTGTCCCTGTTACTCTTGTGATCCTTCGTGATTTGGGTCAAATGTTTCTGGTGAATTTCACAAAGCTCTACGCCCACGCTTTGACTTTTGTAAGAAATCTTCGAGGAAAAAAGGAAATCGACGAGGATGAAATGATACAACTTCCTATAAAGTACTGTATGGCAATTTTGATTGGTATAATTACACCTGACTAATAGGGAAATGGGTTAATTGTCTTTACTTCAGCCTATTTAATTATATGCACCACTTTTGTGTATCTCTACGATGCGATAATGGGTCCGGAATGGGATACTGGTCTTTCGTATTTTACTGCATTTTATTTTTCATTTATTTCACTGACAACCATTGGTCTAGGAGATGTAATGCCTAACAATGTACCGGTAGGTCAACATACTTGGTTTTCTCTTGGAAACAGGTCTCTTTTAGTACGCACCGCCCGTGTCTATCATATTTTTCATCGGAATGGCGGTGACCAAAGTTGTGAATCGCGCCACATTCATAGCAGTAGAGAATGGAGTTTTTGGTATGCTACAAATTCCTGAAAAGCCAACAAGTGTATATTTTCAGGCATCATGACTCTAGCTGAAACTAAAATTAATCATCTTTTGACAAAATCTGAGCCGATAACGGAACTTCCGAAGACTAGGAAATGTGGATCTTCTGGAGGACGTCGGGAAAAAGAAAAGGATTCTGAATCCACGTCATCATCTTCTTCGTCAGGATCCTCCTTTTCTGGATCATCACAATCTTCAGAAGATCCGGGTTTCGGATTATTTGAAGATTCGTCTAGTGAAAATTATTCAGAAGATGGAGTGAGTTTTGAAAGAAAGCGAAGAATGAAAAATTGCGAATTTCAAAATTTTTATTCTGGAGGGTGATTCAACCCACACTGTGCTATAAGCCGCAAGCCATATTTTCAATGTTCAGATGATCAACCAACGTCGGAACGAGATGATGAACACGTTCACAGTTCGTTCGATTGCTACATTCATGAAATCGAACCATGATGTGTATGGAGGAGGGTTCGGAAAGGTCCAGTTGAGAAGAGGAGATTTGCTGAAGCACAACAATAATGCTCATACTGTAGTAGGAGGGACTACACATAGAATTAGACCTGTAGTTTGAATAATAAAACTGTAAATTTATCATGAACTTGTTACCATCAAGCTCAAGTCAGACACCTGTTATATTTTAATTTTCTTAGAATTCTTGTGACTATCACGTCACTGAAAATGAAAAGAAAAAACACAAATTTACATAACAATGGATTTTTGACACAGATAAATTCTTTCTAAACGTTCTGTTATGAACCAAAATCTTTTCCGTCACAGAAATCTGCTTCGATGTTTCTAAAACCTCTCATTTTTCTTTTCCACATTTTTGTGGTCTTCGCTCAGGACCAATCCACTCCTTCTGTACCTAATAACACGGGGCTCAGCACTCTCTGTCAGTCATGTATGACATTTTTGGAAGAACTTCCCGGATTTTTGGAGAACTACTCTCCGTTGTATGGAATTAATGCGGCGAGTTCTTTTTTCATCTTTCAATAAACTCTCATGATTTTTTTTCTGACAACTCTCTGCACTAAACTCTCTCAACACATGCCACCTGTCGGTGAGCCATGTTTCAAACTATTCGCCGAATACTGGCCCGCCGGGATCAACGCAACAACTCTTGAAATTTGTGGAGCCCTTTATTTCTGTTAATTATGTTCCCGAAATGAAGTTGTTAACTTTTCAATTACAATACATATCGCACACAGTGTTTCCAAAATCAATGAGTTGTGGGCGGAAGGTGTCGAAGATTTTCCCAATGTCGAAGTTGTTGACCAGGGCCATACAACGAGGTTTAAGAGTAGCGTGAAGTTGAAAACATGCGAGGTTCTGGAAAAAAGACTAACTGCAAGCTTGCTGTTCATAATTTTAAAAGTCTAGGAACGTTCTAATTAGAATCTTTTTCTGAATTAAAGAACCTTAATTCCAAAACACTTACCAAATAAGCAGTAACCTCTGCCCAGCTATTCGGAACCTTCTCTTCCCACTTCTTATTGCACATTGTACAAAACTGGCCTTGTGCCTCCTCAAGATCCGTTGCCAGAGCGCTAGCGACCAAAAATGAAATAAGGATAAAGTACTTCATGGCGATAATACTGATAGTTGAGAAGAACTGATAGTGGGTATGGGGGAAGTGATAAGGCCAAAAGCTACATAAATTTGAAATTCAAATTCAAATAATTGAATATTCAATAGATTGATCAAACCAAAATGCTAATTTTATCTGTAAGTAAGAAGAGAAACAAAGAAATAATGTTAGCGAGAGTACATTTTCTTGAGAAACTTCTCATGGTGCTCATCTATAAAAAGAAAAAAGCTTGTTCAATTTCAACAACAAATCATGAAGTTGTCACTGGTTTTCTTCGTTCTTCTGGCTTTAATCGGGTTCACCTTTGCTTCCAAATGCGATTCCTGTAAGGCATCGGTCAAGGATATCAAGGATGGAAAGGGTCTCGCTTATATGGCCAATTTGACTACCAAGCAAATCGAGGACTATGTCACCAAGAATGTCAACGTAGGTGTATATTTTAGAAGTATGTTTTTTAATCATATTTTTCAGCAAAACTGCACCGGCTCCGACTGCGCAAAGCTCATCAGGAGCCTCATTGAGATCGCTGACCAACTCGACGATGACTTGGATGCCACTCCAGAGGAGCTCTGTAAATTTGTTTACTTCTGCTAACTTGGTGTTTAATTTCAAGAATTTTTGAAATTTTAAAGGCAATAAATGTATTCAAAGCATGTGAAAATTTCTAGTTCACGAATTCCGGTGCCGGTGGAATCGTTTTCTGCTTATCCGTATTCTGAAAACTTTGGTATAATCAGAGGATGACAAAATTGAAAATCACATTGTATTCTGAAAAATATACATTCATCTCGTTTTTCTTTCTCGGATCAATCAGCAAAACTAGCATCGCAATAACGGAAATTAGGATTAGAATTGCCTCTCCGCCAATTGATTCGGTTTCGTAGAGCTGTTAATTTAAATTGTTTAAAGAAATGTACCGTAAACACTCAAATAGAACGCCACCCGGACAGTCCACTTTCAGCTTATATACTTCACTTCTTTTCAAAGATATCAAAAACGTTGTCAACTAATACAATGTTTATCATGATTGCAGTTAACTACTTTTTGATATCTCTTATAGAAAATGAGATACATGGACTCTAATTTGACGATTCGTGTGGCGTTCTGCTAGAGTATTTACGGTCTATATTATTTAAAACTTACCGCTCGAACATTTCCATCGAAAGAATATTGTACAAAACGAAGTACTGTATAAATCGGCGCACGAATCAGAGCAGGCATCACTTCCAGCAAATGAACTTTCACATAGAATCGAATGACATCGGTTAGGGCAGAGGTGAAAACTGCGATGGCCAGGTAGACAGGGAAAACGGTGTCTGGAATTCAGAAAATTATGATCTCAAAGCTGAAAGTTCGAGAAAAAAATCTAAGAACTCCAACTTACCGCTGACAATCCAATGCTGAGTACATTCATCCAATGACTTGAAAAATGCAGGGATTAGGAAAACCATGAGAGCAAAAACAAAAAGTATCGGTGTCAAAATGATGACCGGTAGAATTCGTTTTTTGGGCATTAGTACCGCCAAAATAATCACAATAACCGCGAAAATCACATAAGTGGCTCCAGGAATTAGTGTTTTTTCAAAGTACATCACTTCACCGTGTCGATTAATTTTAGCCTCTGCAAATGCCGTAACCGCCAGACACGCACCAGAAATCAGACCGCAAATGAGCACTTCTCGAACTAGTTTGAAGGATTTCAAAGTTTTCACAAGAATCTCTATGGGATTTTCTGCGTTTTCGAAACTCTCAAAAGCAATCTGATCGATAACTGCGTCTGGAGATAATGGAATTTCAGCTTTCTCAAAAATGACTGAAACTCGGTCTTGCATTTTATCCGTTTTACTTCTGGCCAACAAATTGTGGAGGGAATCGTGGAATGTGCTGAAAATTGTTTTATAGTATTTTTCTTAAATCTTTTAAAGCAGTCCTTCTTATTCAGTAGAATTTTCTGAAATTTAAAAAATGGCGAAAAATAACTCACTAATAAGCCAAAAATCCCATAATTATCGTTATAAATCCGAATACTTCAAAACTGTGCGACATATTCAACGGTTGATCCGATGGAAGCCGAACGAATACAATGGATAGTGCTCGTGCGGATGCGCGGACTGAAAATTCTTAATTGGTCAATTAATAACTACAGTTTTGGAAAAAAAAATTGAAAAAAAAATGTTTACCGAGTTCGCAAAGTATTAAAGCGAAGACTCGATGAAATTTGGGTACGGATTCCAGTAAGACCACTACTATAACCACACGGTAGACCTAAAACGTTTTGGACCACCATAGAAAGAAATTCGAAAACTTAAAAACTTGCTTCACTAAAAACCAGCGTCACAAATATACTCATCTGAAGTTGCGATGGAAAATGTGCCATGAAAAAGAAAGCAACACTGATGACTCCAAGAATAAAAAGAACCAAACTTCTCGGGCTTATCGTCGTTGTTCCAAACATGAAAAGAGCGTTTATAACAATTGTAAGCTGTCCACTTGGAATCTGTTGCTTCACAAAATCCGCATTCTCAGCCACTCTCAACGAATCATCCCTTTCATTACCATGGCATTTTGAGTAGAAAAATTCATTAGTTCTGTTATTCTGGGCTACTTCTGGAGACGTTACTTTTTTGGTTTCGTCGAGAAGTCGAGTGGAGAAAAAAATAAAAAAGAAGACGATAATGACGGGGAGAACAGTATGACGATAGTGAGGGTATTTTGATCCTAAAGATAAAATAGGTTATGCATCATTGAGAAAAAAAGCACCAATAAAAGTCATCAGCTCTTCTAAGCTCCCAAACATGCGTTCATTCTTGATCGTTGCCTCCGAACTGCTATGTCTCAATCTTCTATTGCTATTTTTAGTTTCAGGTGTTGTATTTTTTGCGGAAGCTGACATTTTTTGAATAGTCAGTCGGTGAAGCAAATTGGTGGATTCCTGAGTTGTCACTGTTTCCAGTTGACCCAAATTTTCACGCTTTTCAATTTTTATTACGTTAAAAAATGCAAAAAAAACACAACTGTCTTAAATTTTTACATTGGAAAAACTCTAGCGTTTCCTGTAGATGTTTCCGGATTTGATTTCTTCCCGAAAACTTTTCTTATCGCTTTCTTATATTCCTTTATAAAGTACATGGGTACTACAGAGTCAATGAATGACTGGGTTGCCATCAATGGTAGTAAAAATGCTTCGAAAAATCTTCCGGGTTGAAGTTTAAAAATCGGAAAAATCAAAACACATCCAGCTGGGAAAAAAAGAAGAAATAACGGAAATACTGTTTGAGCAACTAAAGATTTGAATAGTTGATGTTGCATTTCTAAAGTTCGTCTGGAAACTTGGGTCCGAAAATTGAAAGTGATCTCTGTAAAAATTTTCCGAAGCCGGTACCAACAAAATGTGATAATTGAAAAACCAGAAATCTGAAAAGTTGAGATTTAGAAAGATCATACATTTAAGAGATGGTCTCACAATTATAAAATCAATATTCAGGACGAATAAAAAATCAGAAATACTCGGATATTCCAAACTGGTCAATGGATTTATCCGCTGAAAATTAACATTTGTTGGAAGAACTGAAAATAAAATGTACATAGAAAAGTGAAGCTGCGTATGTATACTCCTGGGGATTCAAATTGAAGTTTAGCAGCATAGTATCTCTGAAAAATTAGTCATATCTGAATTTCCGAGAACTCATCACTTCTTTCAAAAACGTACCTGATAAACTCACTGACTTCCAAATCCTCTCCAGCAAACCAAATTGCCATAAACCACCAATTTAGTGCAATTAACAAAAATAGGCCAATGAGCGAAAAATAATTAGGATACGAGAATAAAAGCAGTTTATGCGGCTTACAAACAGCAAGATATCTGTATAGAAAATGAAAAGACAATAGATATAAAGTCATCCCATAGGCAGAACAGTGTAGGGCTGAAATTCTGAAACTTGCTCAGACTCCAAAGTACCGTAAATATATATATATATATATAGATATATAGATATCTTCCACAGAAACCGAGATATATAGATTCAAAGTTGTCTGTTCTGCTGGCCTTCTAATAGTGTTTACGGTATTTTTTAATGTGTACTTTTTTTTTCAAATTACAAACTCCAAAACTCACCTAAATACCAAAATGACCATTTTCTAGGTAACCCGATCAAGTTTTCAGTAAAAATGATATAAGCACCATTATAAAAATGTAGTTTCGGTTGAATTGTAAGGTTGAATATTCCGCAAACAATTCCAAAAATGCTAAAAACCAGCATGAGGTTTTTATAATTCCCCATCGAAATTGGACTTTTTTGGAGAATTAGAAATATTAGAATTCCATTCGAAATACAGGATAATGTTGGAATAATAATAGAGAACATTCGAAAACCTTCTGTTTTGTTGGTATATGACTGGAAAAAAGAAGAAGGAATCAGAAAGCTAAAAAATACGAAAAAAAACTAGGTTCTAAATCCTCGAGGGGCATAAAAAATTATAAAAAATCACCTGGATTCTGATGATTTTTTGATTTGCAGGTGGATTTAATACCAGTGTCTGATAATAAAAGGACGAGCGGAGCTTTCATGTTCTCAGAAAATACGGCCAACCTTCTATTGATGTGATCTTATTGGAAACTCCGCCCATTTTTCAAACCAATGTTTGCATGGGGGGTCCTGAAACCAGAAACCTGTCACGGAGGAAAAAAACAATGGAAATGATTGGTTGAAGAATTCGCATCATATTTTTTAATATGGAGGCTTAATGTCAACTTCGAGCCCATGTATCTCATTTTCTATGAGAGGTATCAAAAAGTGGTCTACTGATGAAATGTTGCTGCTATTATGATGTCCAATCTGTCAGTTGACCGCTTTTTGATATCTTTAACAGGAATAGAGTCATATAAGTTCAAAGTTGATAGCTTGGATGGGGTTCTATTAGAGTGTTTACGGTACATTGTTTTTTACAGAGCCCAATTTCATCAAACTCTTCAGACCGATTTGATTTTTTTTTCAGCAAAACCAATACCAAAATCATCAACTGTTCAAGAAAAAGAACTTTTTAAGTGCACTGAACTCGGAACTGAAAAATCTCAAAACCAAGTGTTTTTTATCAGAAAAAGAGTAATCGTTAACAAAGGTGCAAGACAGGTTTCTTATCAAGGATTGGAGAAATTAATGATTTTGCACATTCTTCCAAATGTTTTAACTGAAAAGTTTTAGACCCATTTTCAGTATCATTCTAAGAACATGGGTATGATTTTGGTGTGTTTTGTAGCTTGGCATTTTATGGATTTTTATTTTTCAAACTGGTTCGTTTTTTAGATTCCTTACATATTTTGACAGTTTTCGTATTTCTATACCATTTTTGGGAGATTTATTTTTCATTTTTGAATGTAAACACATTTTGGGAAGCATGACCTTTTGCTGTTTTTCCATAACAAAAATAATCATGGTATTTATTGATTGTTGAAAATGAATCAGGCCAACTGAAACTTTTTTCAATAGCTTTTTTCCATAGCATTGTTCAATTAGCGAAAGATTAATTTTCAGAATTTACGAAATGTTTTCTTAAAGGTGGGGGGGGGGGGGACATGAAAAAAAATAATGTTCTCGAAGTTCCGTTCAAAGATGCTCCTCGAGGAGTTGAACTTGTCGAGGCGAGTGTTGGAGGTGCGGCGCCGCTACCGACTGAGCTACGCGTGCAAAGAGAAAGCCGCTGCCCGATTACATACATAAAGGCGAGGACGGCATCTGTACGTAGAGTGGCGTTAAGCGTTGTAAACCGTGACGGTAGAATGCATACTCTGGCCCCAAAAATCCCCCCTAAAATCTCCTGTCCCCCCACCTTTAAATGTTTGAATATCTTAATCGAAAATTCTGATTAATTTTCTATGTTCCAAGTTGCCGTAAAACCTTTAACAGAAGGGCGCCCCACACTGTCAAGTTTGAGCTTATTTATCTCGGTTCTTGTTAAAGATGCCAAAAATATATCGACTAATAATATGTTTGTGGCATCATAAAAAACAATTTATCAGTTGACAACTTTTTTATATCATTGGCAAGAACCGAGATGAATTGGCTCAAAGTTAAACGCCAGTTCCCTTCTATTACAAGTTTTACGGTACAACAAACAAACTTTAAATCTCAGAATTTTCACATTTAAGTTACTTTCGAATATAAGGTAGATTGTTTTCTTTCTTGTCAGTTTTTTTCGAACACCTCTCTCGCACCTGGCACCAACTGCCCCTCATCAACCACACCACATTTTCCCTCTCGTTTCTGACCGAAAATTCGTCGCATTATCACTTTAACATTTCTTATCGGCTCACGATACTGACAGACGGCCATTTTTAGGGGTATAGAGTGCATACACCTCAAAACTTCTTCTTATCAAAATAGCTATCATTGTGTCTCTGTGTCTCGTCTGACTCTCACTCTCTTTCAATATCAAGGTATCTGTATCGACTTAAAGAAATGTGCATTGGAAGTATAGAAGTGCTGTCATTTAGCACTTTTTGACGGTTTTAGTTTTCGGTTTCTTGATTTTGCATCCTAATGATATTTTCATACATTCTTCATCTGAAAAACTATCTGAAATTTACAAAATTTTTCAGACTATATAACAAAAATGCCTGATACCCATCCACCGAGTTCTCCACCACCACGGAGCAATTCCATGTCAGCCACTTTCAACTATCTTCATCTTGACGCTGACAAAGTTCTATCAGCTTTTGGTAAATATGGGCGGTATCAGGTAATTCAAGGTTTTTACAGTATCTCAGAATCCCAAAAGAATTTCCCAGATGCTCGCATATGTTATCACTACATCCGTCCACATGCTGTTCGCTTTGAATATGATGATCATGCCATTCATTACAAAGACCACTTCGTTTTTATGTGATGTGCCTGATAGTCCGGTATGAGATACAAGTTTCGAGATTTCTCAAAACAGAGAAAAATTACAGAACTTCTCACCCTTGGTGGGAGATAGCTGTCATTTACATGATGTGCAATTGAATACAACAATCGATTGTTTAGCAGTGAATGGAGCAAAGTGAGCTTCAAACCTTTTTTTATTTGAAAAACGAAAGTGTCTTTTTTTAAACCTTCTTCAAAAATTCATCTTCGAAGTATTTCAGATACGCATACGAAGAAGACAAAAAATCCACCATCACTAGTGACTTCGACTTGGTATGCGAGTATCAAGGAATGGCGGAGCACGCCACATCAATTTTCCTAGTGGGTGGAATGATTGTATCACCATTTGTCAGTCAATTATCTGATATTCTTGGTCGCCGTCCATTGTTTTTGATTCCACTCTACGTTAGTGTGGTTGCCAATTTGATTTGTGCCGCGGCACCGAACTATTTGATATTTCTGCTGTCTAGGTTTATTTCCGGAGTTGCTACTACGGTGAGTTTTTTTTTATACATTTTAATTAAATCAAAATGTAGCAAAATCTTGACGTTACCATCTAAATTTTCAGAGCTTCAGTATGACTGGCTTCGTTCTGTGCATGGAATCCGTCTCCCTTGAGTTCCGCTCCCTAATCCCAGTCCTTACCACCATCTCCTGGGTCGGTGGATACATGCTAGCCGGTGTCTTCTACATTTTCTTCAAGAATTGGCGTGTTCTTTATTTCGCCGCTTCGGTTCCCGGACTTCTAACCATCCCTTTCTTCTGGTTCACTCCAGAATCGTTGCATTGGCTAGTGACAAAACAAAACGATAAGAAGATTCAAAAATATATCAATGAGTCTGTTGCGTTTAATAAACAGACCATTAGCCTTATTGATTGCCGCTCTGCTAATGCTCAATCTTCCGAAAAGACCAGGACTTTTAGAGCTCTTTTCTACCCGAAGATTTTTGTGCATGTGCTGATCAATTCTTATATTTTGTAAGTTTTTTAAAGATTAAATAATTGATTAAAATTGGAAGCCCAGTTTTCCGAAGGGAGACTACATTTTAAAGTTATTTAGCTCCATTTTGAATGGAAATTTCGAGAAAACCACACAACCAAAATGTACTCTCAACATTTAGTTGCAGTACTAGATTTATTTAAAGTATATTAGAACTAAAAGAGAAAGCATCCCGAGTTTTTCCTAATCCACCTATAGCATTGAAAGTCTTCGTTCTTAGATCTTTCATAACTTGGCTCATTGTACACTCTAGAAGCTGAAACTAGTCTCAAACATGATCAATTTCAACCTTTTATCCATTTCCGTCGAAAAAAAAAACAAAAAATATCTTAACTCTTCAAAATCGTATTATTTTCTGAAAACGCATTTCTTCTGTTTGCCTCTCATCCGTTTCAAGAGAGAAAAGTGGGCGGAGTCTGCTGTTACACAAAGTATATTTGCCGGCGCGAACCCGGGAAGTGTCGGCTGCTTCAGGTGGAACGCTATCTGTTGCCTTTATGAACTGTTCTGTAACGGAAAATCGAGCAAAATTGCTGGAAATTGATAGACTAACACTTTGAAATACGGAGAATCCGAAAATCTATTTTTCAAAATCCAATTCTTACAATGGAGCCTTCTAGTGGCCCTGGAGCCTTCTAGCTAATAGGGAACCTATAGAGTCGAGAAGCTAACATTTCAAAATTATGCTCAAACCCACTAAAACTCCATAAAGTTTTTTGAGAATCACATAAATTTTTATCCTATGGCCTTTTCAAAAAAACTCTTTTTTTACATTTTAATGTTTTCAGAATTGTCATGAGCGGTACCTACTGGGCTCTCTCCCTCTACTCCACCGAATTGTCGGAAGACGAAACAACCGGATACTTCCTATCGGGTCTTGTCGAGCTGCCTGCTGGATTCCTATCAGTTTTCCTTCTAATTCTGTTCAAACGAAAAACTGTATCATTTTTTTCGTTGGTTCTAACAGCTGCATTCATGTTGGGTACTGTCTATGTGCCACTCCAAGGAAATTATAAAATGATTTTCCCACTTTTGGCAAAATCTACAAATTCTATTGTGTGGGCTAGTCAGCCGTTATTGTATTCTGAGGTGAGAATTTTTAGTTTGAATTTATAGAATTTTGAGAAAATAGATGGGAATTCTGAATATATTCAAGATTTCTTTAGGGCGCGAATTTCCAAATTTTAGTTTTCCAAATTTTAGTTACTCTACGGATTTTTAAATACATTTATATTTCCCATAATTAAGGATAAAATTTTAGGCATTTTCTTTACTAAAAAGGTTGTTTTCCAGGGAACTCCCACCACTATCCGTAACGTCTTCAGTGGAGTTGTGTCGTTTGTCGGAGAGCTTGGATCTATTGGAGCGCCGTATATGAATCGATTGGTGGGTTTTGAGTTTAGCGTCGTTTGGTTTTGAGAACCTTCAAAAAATAAAAATAAACATGGTGTAATTGAAATGATACTGAATTAGGAACAGAGAAACACTCTAATAGAACGCCCTCTTACCTTCAACTTTGAGGTGGCTTATCTTGGTTCCTGTGAAAGATACCAAGAAGTAGTCAACTGACAAAATAATTTTGCTATTTTGATAATCATTTTGTCAATTGACCACTTTTTGATATCTTTAACAGGAAATGAGATGTATGGGAGCAAAATTAAAAGTTTGTGTTTATTTTCCTGATCTTCATCTTTTTCCTACAACACATATATCTAAAAAACTAAATTTCAGACGGCCATCAACGAAGACGCTCCAGCCATCGTTATCTCCGTGATGTCATTGATCGCCGGTCTCCTAGTCCTTCTGCAGCCTGAAACCAAGGACAAAAAACTTCCAGAAGACATTGATGATTTCGACGCCGGACCACTTTTCAGAGGGTGTCGAACAAAGAAGAATAAGGAGAAGCTAAAGAAGGATTCAGAAGACGTGGAGGCTTCTGCTCAGAAGACGTTGGAAAAAATTGAGGAGGAAGAAGCCGTGGAGTTGTTGGAAGTGAAAAGTCAGGAAAAGGAGGAAAAATCATAATTTTTGGATCTACTTTTTGTTGTGTTTGTAAAAATTGACGGGGAAGGAAATGAAAATATTGTTTTTCCTATGATTTTTGAGCTGAAAACAAGTTAAAACGGTTCATTGAGTGTTTTTCATCGCATCAAAAAGAAGAGGAAAAGTGTGTAAAAATGGGACAAAATGTATAAAAATGAGATTCGAATTGGGAGGTTTTCAATATAAAAAATGAATTTAAAAATCGAGGTTTTTGTGGAATGAAAGATGCTTTAAAAATAGGATTTTCGGGGGAAAATGAATAAAATGATCATTGACTCAAAAACGCGGATAATCTCGCCGGCGGTCTTCTATTTCTTGATGATCTCGAAGTCTCCATCGGTACCATAACCTCACTCTCATCCCCGCTAGACTCATTACATTCATGACAGATCCATCCGAAATTGTTTCTCTTTGGCAGACGTGTCAATGGCGGGGATAAGCAACCGATATGATAACTATTATGACACTGATCGCATTGAGTCTGCTTATGCTGCTCAGTCGCCTTCTTGCAAACCACACAACTGTAACTCTCTTTCGCTTTCTTCGCAACAGTACCGGATGTCGAACGTTCGGCGCTTTGACGGAGATCCAGATCTCCTAGCTCCGCTAGAATCTTGTGTAGTCTTTCAATCGCTTCTTGCTTCGATTCAATAATCTCTTCGTTGACTCGGAACTTGTCGGATAGCGCTTTTGATGTGGATTTCTTCTCCTGTTTGGCTTTGGTTTCGGCGAGAAGTTCGCGGACTTTACGGAGTTTTTCCTCTTCTTCTGGGATGATTTGGGTGTCACGGACGTGCATGAAACTGGAAAAGAAGAGAGTTGGATTAGTTGAAGAATGCTTCCAACTCACTCTAAATACTCTTTTGAGAAACCAATTGGAACATGTGAGCTGTTTGTGAGCTTGATATCGTAGAATGGATCGCGAAACTCCTTTTTAGACAATCCAGAGTCTTCTGCTTTAGTCTCGAAACGATCGAAGAATTCGGATGAAGAGTTGAGCAGGCGGGCCTGTAAATTTTGGAAATTTGGAAGTGTTGGGAAAGAATTTTTAGGAAGGTTACCTGTTTAACTTTCTCCCCTCCGTGCACTCCTCCCTTCTGCTTCGTGTTCTCATCCTCCAGCAACTCTTCCAACATTTCCCTCATTTTTATACGCTGCTCATCCTCCGAAGCATCCAGAGTCTTTCGTCGTCGATGTGCAGTGATTCTTTTCGCTTCAGCCTTCTCCCATCCTTCGAATCTCCGTTGAAAGCTTTTCAAGTTATCCAAATTCGTGTGCTTCTTACAGAAGAAGTACCGGGGGACGGCGATTTCAGAATCTCCGGATTCATCAACCAAAAGACCGAGTTTCTGAGCGCAAGTGACATGCATATATTCCTTGCACATTCCCGATTCACACCTGGATGAAATTCCAAATCTCGCTTCTATTTTATCCGAACACGCCGAACAGACTCTTCGTCCAAAGTTCGAGTTTTCTAGATTCTCCCAGGACACTCCACTTAAAGAATCGTCATCAACCCAGACGATTCCGTGTGTGAATAGAGCACAAATCAAATGTGCCCATCGATCCGGTAGATCAGATTTTTTGAAGGCACCGAAACGAGATGGGCAGAATTCACAGAATGGGGGATCGAGGTATCCATACTGGCAAGGTTCACAGAACCAGAGTCCTCCAGAAGTGACGTCTTCTGAACTCTGGACAATTCCTTTATAGCAATTCTTGTGTACGTGAATACCACATTTTCGGCAATTTAAAAAATCTTCATCTGACTTCTTCTGATTCACACAGACTCCACAAATGATAGACTTCTCTCCTTCTGGTTCTCCCTGCTCCTGATCCTTCTCATCCTCTTCTTCATCTTCTTCGGATTCCTCCTCATCACTGTTAGACTCTTCCGAAGAATCTCCAGAATCTCCAGAACCTTCTTCTTCCTTTGGTCCTTCGAAATCCTCATCCTCTTCATCGGAACTTGGATGATTCTCGTTTAGTGTTGCGAACAGAACTGCGGTTGGCTTGATTTGTCGCTTTCCAGCGGCTCGGGAAGCTGAAAAACTCAACTTTTCAAAAATTCTAATACCCATTTTTAAACTCACTCATTTTGCCGAAAATCGACGAATCTGTGGGCTTGGACATTGTTAGATTTTGTCAGACACTGAAAATCTTCCGTTTAAGACAAAAACACCAGAAAACAATTGAAAAAAATTATCTGTATCTCAAAAAGCTAGATCCAAAAAGAGTATTCAAAAAATAGGTGACGAGAAGACAAGACACTATTACAAAAAAGGAGGCGCAGAGAAATGGAGATGCAAACGCGCCCCGTTGGACAAAATTTTTTGAGATTTTTTGTTTGCTTTTCAATTGATTTTCAGGTTTTTTTTTGATGATGTATGAGATTTTTCGAGTGTTTTGATACATTTTAAAGAAAATGGAACTTCCGTTTCCGAAATAAGTTTTCACCGATATTCAAAACCGTTTACAGCCCCTAAAAACTTGTATTAAAAATCTCACTAATTTCTCAGTTGTTATCACTTTTTCTCCGAATTTTCACTACTAAATTTTAAATTTTCAGTTCTCGCAAATATGTCAAATGATATTTTAGACGATCCAATGGACACAGGTGCTCCGGTAAGTTTATAAATGACCAGCTCGTTTTTTATAATATCTAAATTTCCAGTCAAGTGGCCCAATTGTCGGCAGTGGTGAATCGAGCAGTAGCAGCGGAACAGGCGGTGCAGAAGAGACAATTCCAGCAGTAGTGAGATTCTTGGAACATCATGTGGTGGAGAAAAGTGAGTGATTTCGTATCATTTCAACTTTTAAAATCTTAATTTCAGTTCCAGCTCTTCTGACCCGTGCAGAGGAAAAACGAGATAAGGAGAATTTTGACGAAGTCTACGATCTGATCGTCACCGAGCCAGCCGTCGATGTGGAAACCATTGGATGCAACTACGACGGAAATTCCTTTTTCTTGCGTGCCAGATTCATTGCAAAGCATTGCACAGCCTTAAAAGCCGATGCATACATTGCACTGATCAATTATCTAAAGGAGAACACAAAGGACACTACTCATTATATCGCATTTTTCAACGAGCTCGAGCAGGAATTGGGAAGCAAAAAGGAGTATAAAGTCAACTTTCAAATTCCTGTGAAAGATACAAAATGGGTTGATGAGACTAGTGGAAGCTGGCAAGTTGCACTGGATCATTTGCAAATCGAGTATAAGAGACACAAGGATGAGGGTGTTAAGGAATCTACTAGACGCGCTATGGAGGACTTGTTCAGACACTTTTTAGTGGCTGGAAAGACGGAAGAGGCGATTCGATTGTATTCCAGAGGAATCAGAGACTATTGCACACAGTTGAAGCATTCCATCAATGTTAGCTCTTTAATTTCGTCACTGATTATGATAAAGTAATGATTTCCAGATGTGGATGAACTGGATCGAAGTGTCAATCTGCGGAAACGATTGGGGCAAACTGGAGAGCATTACTTCAACGGCGTTCCGCTCATTGAAAGACGCCGATGACGCGGAAAAGGTATTTTTGATCACTTATCATTCTAGAATGACCCAAAACAACGTTAATTTTTGAAAGTTCTATTTTTTCCAGAACAATCAACAACAACAACGCGGCGAAAACGCGACATATCTTGTCAATCAAAGCGCACCAATGACCTCTCCATCCAATCGTCAGCTCATCGAGACAGCCTTGGCAAAGTGCCAAGCCGCTCAAGTGATTCTGAAACTTCGAAACCATAGATATTCGGACGTCCTCGAAACCGTGCTGGTGATAAAAACCGAGTGCTTGGACTCCAAATGGTACGTCACGTCTTCGGATCTTGGCATCTATTCGGTGCTATGTGCGATGGCTACGTTGGGAAGAACCAATTTGAAAAAGCTGGTCGGTGGAAGTGACGGAAATGGAACTATCCGAAAACTATTGGAATCTGAGCCACTGTTTTTCGAGATGCTCACCTGCTACGTGGCAAGCCGCTTCGGGCGATGCTTCGAGATAATGAATTCAGTGAAGAATCGTCTTCTTCTAGATCCATTCATCTCTCGAAACGTCAACGAGCTGTTCTCGAAGATTCGACAAAAGTGTGTGGTTCAGTACCTGCAACCGTACTCTACTATCAAAATGGAAACCATGTGTCAAGCACTGGGAACAACTATTAGTGAGCTACAAACTACAATTGTCGAGCTCGCCGAGGAGAAGAATGTGCAGCTGAGAATCGACCAGAACGCGGGAATCATTCGAATGATGGACACCACTGATGAGAATGCCACTTTGAGAAAGTAAGAGACTCTCATTATTAAAGACAACTTTCCCCCATTTTCAGAGTCAACGACACTTGTGATCGAGCCATCAACCGTGCTCAGTCTCTCGTCTGGAAAGCCGCGTTGGCCAATGGCAACATTCACTCAATCTCTGACAAAGAATCACGTCAGAAGCGCAAAAATCAAAAGGACCGTCCAGAACGCAGTGCTTTCGACGAAGACATGGTTGGTGTCGACGATTTCAATGTGTTCGAGGCGCAGCAACAAGAGCAACAACGACTTTATGATGAGCTCGGGGATATGTGAATGTGTCCCTAATTTTTATCACCCTTTTTTTGTGTATTGTAAAAATCTTTTCCCCTGGTATTGGAACCCTATCTCCTTCGTTTTTCTTCACAACTGTCGCCAAATAAATCTTCTATTTATTCCCCTACTGATGACGTGTTCATTTGCGTCGTGGCCCAATTGACGTTGACTCCGTTTCCCACGAAGAGAGTGAGAGTTGACTAATGAGCAGCTCTCGTTTCTTCTCTTTCACCCACTATTTATATATTTTTCTTTCTCTATTAGTCTAGATAATTGCTAGTCATACACGGGTCGCCTTGACGACCTGCTTCTCAGAATTCTAGAAGTTTCTCTCCTGAGTTTTCACTGATTGACGTCAACCTGACGGAGCACGCCTGCTACTTGATTGATGGCTAGTCTTATCGCGACACGACGAGGCAGGAAAATCAATTTTCGCGAGAACCGAAATTTTTTCTAATTTTGGCCAAAAACTTCAAACCGAATTTTCAAACGTTTTTCATTATGCCTATAAAACCTGAAAATTATCAATTTTCCGTGTTTTTTTCTGTGAAAACAACTGGAGGATCTGCCCTGAAAATTTTTTGAGATAAATCCGCTTTCATCGTAAAAAAGCTTGGAAATTCACCAAAAATCGAAAACTACAGTAATCCTTTCGGTTCGCGGCGAGACTCAACCAACATTTTCATCTGTTGCGCCTTCTTTTTTTCCGCGAATTTTCAGAATTTCTTTTATCAAAGCGATTTAGACCCCCGTTTTCTTCAGCTTTCTGGCAGTTTCTTTTTCCTGAAAGTGCGATTGTCCGCGTTTATCGGCTACCGTAACCCTCCTTCGGTCGCTTAATTTTCCCACGAAATTACGTAATCTGATGTAAAAAAAAACTCAATTTTGCATATAATTAAAACTTTAATTGGCCATTAATCGATTTGAAAAACCTGCGGAAGTTCTCAATTCTCATCGTTTTCTCACCTTTTCATCGGTTTTGTGTTCTTGTTCCTCCCCCAAAATTTCAAGGCCGTCGCTCTCTCTCGGCCACAATTTTTCATTAGGAAATTGGCAAGAAGACGTCCGCCTCTTCCTTTTTTTCGTTTTCTTCGGATCTTATTCTTCTTCATTTCGTGAAAAAAGAGAAGCGGCTCCTGTTGCTCATCCCTGTCACTTGCAGTTTTCTCTCTCTTTCTCTAGCTCTCTCAACCGAGAGATTCGGAGAGAAATAAATGAAGCAATTAAAAACACACAACCAACACAAGGAGAGGCAGTATATACTGGTCAAACATACACACATTTTTCTCTGCGCCCCTTCCAAGTTCCCCAACTCTCTTCAAGGAGCCGCCCATGGCTAGAGAGTGAGAGTGTGTCAGACAGTTGGGGCGCAAAAAAGTGTCCCTCTGCTGCCGGACGACAACGTGGCGCGCCTCTTTCTCTCTCTCTCTCTCACAGATTTTTTTCCTTCTCTCTGTCTCTTTTTTTGTTTTTTTTCCCTTAAATTCGCATAATTTTACAGCTTGGGCATTCATAATGGATGTGATCCTAGATTTTATTCGTGAAGTTTGGGGCGAAATTTTGGTAATTTCAAGTGCCTTTTTTCAATGGGTAATTTTGGGATATGTGTAATTTATGTAGTATTGGCGTGCATGTTTGATATATGTCGTGATCTTAAAATATTGGAAGGAAAATATGCGCTAATTTGAAATTTTCTTACTAGGGAGCTATCTTTGCATGATTCCGAGTGGCGATTCATGACCTATATCATTAGAAAGCCCATAAAATTCTAATTCGGAGCAGGTTTTCTGTTTTTGCGAAACGGCGGTGAGCTTCGGTTTTTCGAAATTTTAATAATTCTTTTCTCGAATATTTGTAGAACTTCTCATGTAGTATGTTTTATGATCAAGCTGATCAGATCAGCTGTGTCGATCTGATTCGTTTTCGCTAAAACAAAACGAGTACTCCACTCCACCCTACTGATTCAACATCTCACATAACTGATGGAATGTGTCTATGTCTCTTGTGTGTTGACCTCGATTCGGTGTACTTTTTCGCATCCTTCAAAACCTTTTTTATAATATCACCTTTTTTTCGGAAAGCGAGAGAGAGGGTGAGACGATCGCTGCATTTTTCTTCGCCGATGACAGTTTTTAATTGGGAAAAAATTGATTGATGAAAGGGATGGTGCAAAAATAATGTACTTTGAACCAGGGTACATTATCGGTATTTTCTAGAATTTAGCAGATCAAGATTCAAAAGTTTTCGAAACTTCTTAAAATTCCATTCTTCTTCTTCTCTATCTTGTGCCGTCCGTTTTTTTTTTAAATTTCTCTATTGCTAGCTTTAAAAATCTCTCTTTTTGCAGGTCAGAAACATGGAAGACTCGGTGACCCTCTTGTTGGGCCTCGGTGGTGGACTGTTCACCACAATCGTCTTCTTCTTCATGTACATGCGCAATCGAGAGACCGCGTTTGAGCAGGTACTAAAAATGCGAGGATCTAGGAAAGCTCATTTCACCTAAAAACCATTTTCCAGCAATTCACCGCCGACCAAATCGCCGTCATATCCGACTCGGACAAGAAGAAGCAGCAACAGAAGAAGGGTGGCAAGAAGAGCACTACAGTTTCACCATCAAGTCTTCCGAATCCGCAGAAGCTGCAACAGCAGCAACCAGCGAAGGTCTCTCCAGCACCACAGAAACCAAAGGACCAACCGAAGAACAAATCCCCACCGAAGCAGCCAGAACAAGCAAAGTCAGAAGTGAAAGTGGCAGAAGTTGTGGAGCAAGAGCAAAAGGTTCAAAATGTGCAACCAGTTCAATCGGAAGCGCCACCACCACCGCCAAAAGAGGTTCCAAAGAAGACACCAAAGCCGATCAATTCTTGCGATTTGGATCAGAAAAAGGTTTTGGATCACCTCTCGAAACTTCCAGAACTCGACACTGCATACGTCTCGTGGCTTAAGCAATCATTCCAATCACACGATACCCAAATGAACAATAAGCAGAAAGAGAACGTCAACTTGGATAAGAAAAATAAGGATTTGGTGCAGAGGAATGAGAAGTTGTCGAAGGATAAGCGAGATGCGGATGAGAAGGCCAGGGATGAACAGTGAGTAAAAAGAAAAAAGTTTAAAATCCCAAAATAACCTCAATATTTTCCAGAAACCAACGCCTGCAAACCGCCGACAAGTTCCAAAAACTTCAAGCTCGCGAAACCGAACTCGTCCGTCAAATTCAACAAGTCCAACAAACCCTGAACCACCGCGAACAGAACTTCGTTCAAGAGACCCAAAAGAAGGACAATAATGTTCAAAAACTTGAGAATGATCTCAGAAGTGCAAAATACAACTTGGACAAAGCTAACGCATCGTCGAGAAGCAGTCAACAAGCGCTCCGTGATGCAGAAAATAAAGCAGCTGAAACGGAAAGAAATCTTCAACAGAAGATTGACAAATATGAGGCGGAGAAGCAAAAAATTGAGGCCAGTCTGAATGGTCTTCGTCAGGTCACCACTATCATGGAGGAGAGACTTGCTAAGACTGGAGACGAGTATGCCGATCAGGCCAACAAAATTCTCGCCCTCACAGCTGCCAACAACACGCTTCAAAATGCGTTGAACGCTGCGAAACTTGCAGTGGAAAACCAGTCAAAGCACAGTACTGAGGAATTGGATGCGTTGAGAGAAGAGCAAAAGGTGTGGTTGAGTGAGAAGGAACAGATGACAGAGAAGTATGTGAGGTTGGAGGAGTTGATCAAGGAACTAAATGTGGATATGAACGAATTCCATGTTTAGTAAGTGTAAAAATACAATATCTCTTTCTAATCAAAATCTCTATTTCGTTTCAGCAAAGAGCAACAAGAACGAATCGTCGGGGAACTCAACCAGCGGGATAATGCTCGTCTGGAAGAGTTGGAACAGTCTCAGGCTAAGGAAACAGATCTTCTCGCTCAACTTAAAGAAACCAAAGAGAAGTTGGCAGAGGTCAAGAAATCGTTGAAGGATGAGCAATCGAGGGTTGTGGAGATTCCAAAGAACTCTCCAGAACCAGTGGTAGAGGAGGAGGCCTTTGAGTTGAAGAAGACTAATGCGGACTTGGCACAAGCCGCTCCTGGAACTTCTTCTTCTGATTCCGCTCTTATCGAGGAGTTGAAGGCGAAGAATGCAGTGTTGGATGAGAAAAATAACGTAAGTTTTGGGATTCAGGAAAACACCTAATCACGTTATCTTCCAGGAGCTCCGTCAACGCAACATGACAATTCTGGAAAAGACAGAAGCGGTGCCAAACCAATTGGAAAGCCTTCGTAAGCAAGTTGTTGCGGAGCTTGGAAGTTTGGCTGGCATAAAAATGAAGGACAAGACGTTCAAGGATGAGCAGGTACTGTAGATATAAGTCAATTTGGATTCTGAATCAATCTCAAAGTTAAATATTTTATTCCATTTTCTGGAAAGTCATTCTGAGACCTATAAGTCTATGCTTTCATATAACTCAAATTTCTGATTTTCAGGCCTTCTCCGATTGGGTCGGTGAAGCGAGGAACGCGATTGAGAAGAAACTCAACTCAGCGTCTTCCACTCCAGCTACGGCTCCTGCTTCTACTCCTGCTGCCAAGCCACAAAAACCATCAAAGTCTGCAGCCAAGGAGTCAAGATCAGTGGAAATTCCAGAAGGAAATGAGCACGAATGCCGGAAGGCCCTGATCGCCTTGGTAGGGTTTTTCCCAGATTTCAAGACTATTCATATAGTTTTTATGTAGTTTTTTCCTGATTGCTGAGGCTAGAACCTTCAAAATCCAATTTTTCAGATCAAGGAGCTCGAGCACATCGAGAAGCTCGTCGACAAGCAAGAACATGAGCACAAACAGGAGTTGGCCCGATTGAGATCTCAATTGGTGTGATTCCACATCGAAATCTACGAAAACAATCAAATTACTCGTTTTTCTTTCTCTCGCACCGAAAATAACCATTTTCTTTCTTTCTTCCCGTCTTTTTCACTGTCTCCCCCTACTCGTCTTTTCCCAAAAATGTGATATTTTCATGTCTCTCCGATTTTTTTTCTTCAGAACCATTGCTTTGCCCTGTCACCCAACCCCCCGTCCGATCCGAGCATTTTCCCATTGGAGCATCTTCTCGAAAATCCCATTGAAAGTTTTTCTTAATCAGCCGACCAAAGCTCCAGATTGTTTTCCTTCTTTTCCTATCCCTCGTCCATCAAAAAAGATAACTTATTTATTTATATTTCCCCCTTTCCCAGATTATTCCCCCTACCAACACAGATTTTATTATTATTATTATTTTAATAGCGAGAAACTACAATTTTTCTATAGAATTATACTCGTTCTTCTTATCCATTTTTTTGCCCTTCTGTGTGAAATGAAATTCTCCTACTACTAGCCTGAATTGTTTCGAATTTTAGTTACAAACTTCAAAAATTGGAAGTTCTTCTACTGACGTCTTCTACTGAAGGTCGCAAACATACGGATCACATGGAAATTTTGGGAAAAAAGAGTGTCAAACATCAGAAAAATGAGCGAAGCGATAAAGTTAATTAAATGGACTAATTAACTGGATAAATTTAGAGAACTAAATACGAGAAATAAGAAATAATTTGACCAGATATAATAGAGCAATCGAATTCTGTAAAGTACCGTAAAACCTGTAATAGAACGATACCCACACTGTCAAGTTTGAGCTCACCTCCGGCGTTTCAAATTGTTAGCTGGTGGGCCTTCGGCGCGATTTAAAATATTTTTTGTAGTAAAATAAATAGGTTAAATCGCGCCGAAGGCAGACCAGCCAGCTGTTTGAAGCGCCAGCTGCGCAGCTGGTGAATTTTAAAAACCAAAGAACTGACGAAAAAACCTGCTGACACTGTCCACCAGAAGAAAAAATAGCTTATCTGATCTCGATGCATGGACAGTACTACCACTCTCTTTAAAGGGTCAACTCAAGTCAACACCGCCAGAGAGGCAAACAGTACAAAGAGGAACGACGAGAGAAGACTTCAGAATCAAGATGACGTCGTCAGGCGGGGAGCGGCGTGACGAGAAACAAGTTTCCTTCCCTATATTCTCAAGGTGTCTTCTCTCTCCTATTCTTTCTGATTTTCTTACCTCGTTTCACTGTTTTATTTGGGTGTTTGGTTTTGAGAGTTTTTTTGTGTTTTTGTAAGATTTTTTGTCCAAGTGACCACCTGATTTCATGGAATGTTCTAGATGACCTGTTCATATTGATTTCAGATATAGCACTATAAATGAAATTGTGACTTTAAACTCTATCATTGACCTGGAAAATGTATTATTTTTAGAGTGAAAGCATCTAATCAAACAGTTCCATGATATTTTTTAATTGGGCTCATGAATCTTATTCCAATTTTTGAACTTCTGATTATTCAATGTCATATCCCTGCTCGAAAATTCCAAAGAACTTGACTATTGTATTATTTTCTATAAAACCTCATCCTAATCGTTACAATTCAATAAAACATGCAAATCGTAAGAAATCTTATTGAAGTTAATTTCATACGAAAATCCGGAGCCCCGAAGATGACCCCAGAGCCACCCCCCCCCCCCCCAGACTGTTTGATGATTCTGAAGTAGTTCTCTTGCAAGTGTTTTGTTGAGGTGTAAGACCAGAAAAAAAGGATTAGATGTTTGAGAAAAAAGAAGTTCAAGGATTAGAAGTGACTCACTTATTTTCTACAAAAAAATCCTTGAAAAATTGGATACACTAGTGTCAAGAATTTCTAGTTATGTTCAACTGTCTAGTTCTAAAAGTCCAAAGTCTCCTACTTTTACATATCAGGATGTTACATTTTTTGGTCTATTCAGACTAAGAGGCCATCTATAAAAAGTGATTTATGTACTAGCTACTCAAATCGAGTTGTAACTAGATCGAAAACGGGTTATAGGATCTGGATGATGACGTGATTGGTCTTGAAGGGAAGAATCGAACGCTTACTATTTTTCTAATGGAAAAATTGGAAATTGGAATCGTGTGGAAACACAAAAAATGTACCAATTGACTAGAATTGAAAAACGATGAAAATAGAGACTACCAGCTCCAATAAATTGCTCGCCTCTCCCCCGCCTCCTGCGGCTAATCACATTCGATCCATTCAATAAAAAACGAGCTGCTCTTCCTACCAATTTTGATGTAGAGAAAAATTGCTTTTAGGAATTGAAAACGCCGGAAAACGGTAAGAATATTTTAAGGCACATTATGCACACTATTGGTTCATGTAGGGTCCATCAGCTCACACTAGCTCAGCTCACAGAGCTCTGTCATCCTGTTAAAATTTCTTTATAGTATTTTTAGTCAAATCTATTTCAGCTTGATATGCCTTGACAAACTTTCAAATTTTCACTTTTTCAGCTCTTGAATCATCTAAACTTTAGTATAAGAAGCCGTCACGAGTTTTGGTCATTCCCCATTTCACGGTCCTCCTATTATCAAATTTTTCCCACTGAAATCAAAAATTCCTTCCTATCTCTTTTCATTTTTTAACCATAATGAGAATAACACAAGTACATTCTTCCATTTCTTCTCCAAACTAGGCGAATGTTTTTCATTTTCTTCCCTTTCTTCTTTAAATATTGAACATTTACTGACCACCTACATGTACAACAAAAACACATGTATAATTCGCCAAAGGATTTTTGACGTTAGATGTAGTGGAATAGATTTTGTGGATTCAGAAGATACTGATTCCGATTTTTTTTCTTCTTTTTGCAAGAACTTATCATGAAATTTTAACTTAAAAGTGTTCCAGGAAAAAAGGTACACATCCATTATAACAATAATGTTTGTTTGTACTCCCTATTTGCTATTTCCTCTATTTTCCATGTTTTCCTTTTTTTCAGTTGCACACTGTTATGTGGAAAATAATAACTTTCCAGAATTTATTGTTGCTGAAATTGACGTCATTGATTCATTCACTTGTTCATTATGTCCTCTGTAAACCATTTTCAGTATGATTATTGATTACAAATCACACAAATTTCAGGTTCTGTCTTGTGCCCCTGTATTTTTAATTCTAAGATTCTTGATCACCCCTTCAGTCTATCCTTTCTTTCTATTTTTAGAATTTTTCAACAATTTTAAGAATAAAAAAAAACCACATCCATTTATCACTATGTTACACACAGAATCCCTCTCTCTGGCATTTCATATCCCTTTTATCGTATATTATACACATTTTCTTGTTTTTCTTCTCTGCGACTCTTTATCTTTTCTCCGCAGAAGACGTGCGGTGTCTTCTGATATTGATTTGAAATTAAAAAAAATCATTGGTGGTTTCAGATGACATGAGCGCCAATCAACGTACAGATTGCTTCTTCAATCTGACCACACCAGAGCGGATTGATCTTTTTAGAGTGAGTTTTTTTCAAACATTATTATGCCCGGAGGTTTTTTGTCTTTATAAAGCTATTTCATATTTTATGGCTTACTAGTACTCTTGGTGAAAGCTTTGACTTCATCTGATCTTACAGTTTCCATGAGAGTTCACCGGAAATTTAGTTGTGATTTTTTTTTCAGCGCCGCCAGGCCCTGCGAGTGGAAAATGTGTTTCGAACATTCTATGGATGGGCAATGTTGCCGTTAGCGATATGTGGAGCGATTGCAACCATCATTTTTATTATCAGTTGTTATAAGGTGAGACATTTTTTATTTTCAATAACTATGTCATTTTTTCAAGAACCAAGCATACCAAGTTTGAGCTTGATTATCTCAATTCCTATGCAAGATATCAAAAAATGTGTCCAATGATAAAATGATTGTGGTATTATGATAAACAATTTATCAGTTGACAACTTTCTTATATCTTTGACAGGAACCGAAAAAAAAATTAACTCAAAGTTAAAAGTTAGGAAGCCCTTCTATTACAGGTTCTAATAGTAAGCTATAATTCTGAAAACTTAACTTAACATTTCAAGTTTTCCAGGCCATCAAAGCCCGTCGAGTATCCCGAAAGTGTTACGCTTTGCTTATGAATCGTGCCATTGGAGATGCTCTGACATGTTGCTCAGCATTGGTCACATGTATCTACGTGTTGACGTGGCACGATATAAAGTAGGTTTGTTTGGAATTTTTAAGCTTTTAAAGAAAACCGACAACTTGCTGTATGCGCTTCAAAATCGTAAAAATTGTGAAACCCTAAAAATATTTTTACACCAAGTTCATAGAAATTTTTCCAGTCGTGATATGGTTGTCGTAATTGAGTCATTCTTCATCGGATCCTTCTGGTCAGCTATGGTCTCCTATTGTTCACTGTCCGTTCTTAAACTGTTCGCTGTTTGGAAACCATTCCATTACAGAAAATGGTTCACAATGAGAAGATGTGTGAATTTGATGATTATCAGGTAATTAGAGCTGATTGGAATTTATCAGTTGTACAATTTTTCAGTTGGACGATTCTAGTTTTAATGGTCAGTTACACATTGGCAGTATCTGCTCTAGTGAAGATCCCTGATTTGAATCAATGGTCAGGATGTAAAGCGGAGACGTGTCTCAGGAATATGTACAGGTATTCCGTCTCCTAGAATATTATAAAATGATAAACTTCTGAAACTCTAGATCCCGAAACCTGATGACTGCTTCTGTGTATTGTTTCACTATCCTGGTCTTTGTTATCACTTGTTTCTTTATTCGGAAAGCTCAAAACTTTAGTAATTCCTTTAAAAAAAGAGAAAAGGATGGAGGTGGACGGATTCGAATGGTTCGATTCCCATTGTGGAAGTTGGCGCTAAATGTGGGAACTTTTGCAATATTGAATGTCCCCTATGCGATATGGTAAGTGACTTTTTTCAAATATTATGAATAACTAGCTTGGCTGGCGCGAGTTCGGCGCGTTTTCGTCGATCCACTCCTAGAAAAGAAAAGTTAAAAAAATATATTTTTCAGGTGCATTGGTCTGGTCCTCAATCCTTACCCATGCCTGTTCCAGCGAAATTATTCTGAAATGATGCGTCTATTGGGATGTATCCGATTGTTCCTGGTGACGAGATGTATTCTGGATCCAGTACTTTCGTTTATCACAGACTTCCAGGTAACTCAATTGAAAAATAAACCATTTTCATTCTAAAAGTCAATTTTTCAGCTCCGCCGCTGTTTCCTCGAAATGTTCGGACAAGGAAGAAAGATCGGAGACCAGCGAAGCACATTCAAGCAGAGCTACAGTTCATCGAGTGCCGATCAGAATTCCATTATCGATCGGGGTACCAGATCCCAAACAGTAACAACAATTGCAAGTTCAAACCCATCTACAAAGGACAAAACCAAAAAATCAGCGAGTTTCGGTGGACTGGAGGTCGATCGAAAAGTGGATCGGTTCTAAATTGTTTTCCCAGTTTTTTTAAAACTTGTTATAACTTCTTTCAAACCCTGAAATTTGAATTTATAGTAACGCTCGAATTTGAAGTTTTTCAAAATTTCAAGTTTGAAGAAAGTTATAACTTTTATCATTGTTTTGTACGTTTCACACCCACACACACAGGATATCTCACACCAATTTTCACTTTGATTCGATTCGATGTATAACGGTTCCACTTTTTGATAATAAACATATAAATGAATAGATTGTACATAATATTTGTATAGTAGTTGTTGTTTCAGAAATGAGAAAATTACCGTAAACACTCTAATAGAACGCCACCCGAATCGTCAAATTTGAGCCCATGTATCTCATTTTTTGTGAGAGATGTAAAAAAAGTGGTTAACTAATAAAATGTTGCTGATATCATGATAAATATTTTATTAGTTGACAACTTTTTGATATCTTTCAAAATAAGTGAGATATAAACACTCAAAGTAAACGGTCCGGGTGACGTTCTATTAGAGTGTTTACGGTAGTTTACTATTTTTTAAAACTTGAGAGCAGGCTAAAAGTTTTCTAGCTTATTTATTTTCAGTATAAATGCGTTGTTAAAACCCACTGGAAACAAAATCGAGAAAAATAACTCGAAACCGGATTCTCAGAAATAATGGTTGGTTTTGAGAACCACGGGAATGACGTGCTTCCTCTGGCTCCAGAGCTCTCTTTCTTCAAAACAGAGCTTGTTTTGAATCTGAATTTATAATTTTTAAATATTTTCAGAGTAGACTTTTGCTAAATCGTGAAAATCGTGCTTAATTTTCATTTGTTATAATCCAGAAGGTTAAAGGGTTATGTTTCTTGGACTCGCAACTTTGAGTCCCGATGGATCTCCAACTCAACTTCCATTCAATTCCCTGATATTTTTTTACACCCTCATGATACACATCTCATGATTTCTAGTAAATACAGATTATCCCCGCTTCTTGGTCCCCGAGAGTCACTTAATGAAATTGAAAATGACCTATCCCTTTATTTCAAAGAGACAAGATAGAGAAGGATGGCGACCAACAACAGCAGCAGCAGCCTCTCGGAAACAGCGACATCCATTTCCTTTATTTTTGTAGAAGACGAAGAACCCATCTTTTTTTTTCAGCGCCTTCCTATTCCAACCTTGGGAAAAAGGCACTCGTTTAAATTGAGAAGATGTTCTTGATGCGCAAGATCGCATCTTCCGAGAAAGAGAAGAAAAATTCTTCTCGACCCCACCTCCTTCTTCTTCTTTTTTTTTCGCTTCAGACCAGAAACAAAAAGAAAAAGAAGAGAATCGACACTTCTCCTTCGCTCCCTCTCGCTCGACCGCCCCGCGCCCTCCTCGTCGACGCCGTTTTTTAATCGTTTCCCTCACTAAATCTCTTATTTTCCTATACTTTTTCCCTTCCCACTCACTCACTCGCGTCGTTTTTTTTTCACATTCAGACAACCACCACCACTGAGGTGTTTGCTTTTTTTTGAGTTGGTTTTTTTTGAAAACATGTGTATATGTAAATGTTATAGTTAGAATGAACCTATTACATTTCTGAATAATTAATTGTATCTTCGTAGGGTCCAACGTTGGATTGTTTTTAAGTTCAAACGATGTGACTAGCATCGGAAACGCATTTAAGCTTAAACTTGATAGCTCAAAGCAAAACTAATTTTATAGCTAAAATCCTTTTGCATCATTTAATCTGTAACTCTAGTTATAAAATTGTTTTATTATTTGTATACCTAATGCAACAAACAGGTTTTGAATTATCATCTCAAAAAACATAGAAGAGATAAAAGAAGCAGTAAAGGGATAATACAGGGGAATGGTCAGAGGTAGATAAATAAATGTAATTTTTTCCGTTGTAGGGTCGTTGGCGGAACCGGGTAAAATAGAATATAAGGGAACTTTGTTTTTTACAATTTTTCCCTTATAATGAAAAAAATTGAAGTATTCATAGTTCATGAAGAAGGCCATCTAAACTGTCAACTTTGAGCCCATATATCTCATCTCCTGTAAGAGATATCAAAAAGTGATCAACTGACAAATTGTTCATCATAATATCAAAAGAATTTTGTTAGTTAACATTTTTTGTTATCGTTTACATAAGCCGAGATATATAAGCTGAAAGTTGACGATATGGTGGCCTTCTATTAGGGCGTAAAGGTAATATATTGGAGAGTGCATTTAAAAATATCTTTTTAAAAATGAAATTTATGTGAATAATCCAAAAAATATTTTCTGTCTCTCTTCTTCTTCTTCAGCTTTTTCTAATTGTTTTTTGTTTCCCTACACTCCTTTCTATTTTCCCCCCTTCATACCTATTCCATTCCCCTACTTTTTCCCTTTTTTTAATGGTTTGAATTCATCAAAAAACGTCGACCCCATACTATTTGATAAGATTTTAATCCAATTTTTCTGTATTAGAAAATTTACCCAATCAAGAGAAAGAAACCCCATATCAGTGTCTTCTCGCTAATCAACTCCTCTCTCCTTCTAAAGAAGCGAAGTTCTAACGCGCTGGCGAGAAGATAAGAAATTCCCGATTATGAACTTTTTCTACTTCATTTCTCTTCGTCCACTTTACGATCCTTTTTGTGTCCGGCTTTTTTAATGAACTTTGAGCCCCTACAGTTTCTATGCGCCTTTAAATGCCATATACCGTCCTGAACTTGTACCTGAAATACAAAAAGACATTTTTAAACTTATTGTTAGTCATGACTTGAAAATTACAGTATCTACAATATCTGTTGCCCCTTCAATACTTAAAAAATTTACTTTTTCAATTTTTTCATTTATCCTGACAACTTGAATTTAAGTCTGTAATTTTTAATTTGTCTTCCAACATGGAGGAAGAACCCTTTGAAGTGCTCAACCATTTTGTTTACCACCCCAATCACATATTGGTCCCTTTAAATGCTCGTTATTATGAAATTGGAAAAGTGATCAATGCGAGCTTCCCTGTCTCCTGGCAACCGTATCTAAGGGATCCGGAAGGTCTTCTTTTGAAATATCTCATGAATTGGATTCTGAAGGCAGAGAAGGAGGCGTTTGCAATGTCTGAAACCCTGGACGTCTACCATGACAGAGTTGGAGAACTGATCAATCATGCAGTTGATGATACACATATCGTAAAGACTGTGTTGACTCCATGGGCCAGTGTTGATGAGGATAGTGAGTTTTACTTCATCTTATTAATATATGAACTAAAAGAATTATTCCGTAGAGCTTGCCATGAGCTACAAAGTTTCAATCTTTATTTCAAATTAAAATCCTTTCCAGGTCCATTCTACAACATCACACAACTCATCGCGAACATGTTCAACGTATGCAAACTACACAACGACATGCAAATATCTGAATGGATACTGTATGTGACTTGTGGCATGATGAATGTTCCAGAACCCTTGCCTTGTCGAGAACAACTCATGCACCATAATCACATGGAACATCGTCGAAGGTCAATCTTCCGTCTTCTCAAGTGGACATACCCCGAGCCAACTGACGATGGAAAAGAGTATGTTACTCATGATATCTTGGATTTCGGAGCGAAGGTGGAGGAGGGCATCCATAGCAGGTCTAGAACCCGGCAGCAGTATCATGAACGTCTTCAGATGGTCAGAGACAAGTTGACCGAGATGCGACGGGAGGAGGAAGAATTTCATGCGGCCTTTGGTAAGTTTTAAATTGAATTCAAATAAAACATAACTTGAAATGAGCGAGAAAAACGACTCAAACCAACTTTGTCGTATATTGTGGACCATTTTTGAATGGAAAGTTCGAGAACCCCAAACAACCAAAATTCACTGGATTCATTCCAAGTTTAATGTAACTAGAAAAAGAGGAATTCCGAGTTTTTCCTAATCTACCCATAGTGTTGGAAGTCGTCGTTCTTAGATCGTTCACAACTTGGCTCATTGTATACCCTGGAAGCTGAAATTAGTCTCAAACATTATCATTTTCAGCCTTTTATCCATTTCCGTCGAAAAAACAAAGAAAATACTTAAACTCTCCAAAATCGTACTTTTTCTGAAAACACATTCCCTCTGTTTGCCTCTCCCCGTTTCAAGCGAGAGTAAAGTGGGCGGAGTCTGCTGCCACACAAAGTATAGTGGCTGGCGCGAACCCGGGAAGTGTCGGCTGCTTGCGGCAGAACGGATCTATTTGTTGCGTTTACGAACTGTTCTGCAATGGAAAGTCGAGGGAAATCGCTGAAAATTGATAGACTGACACTTTGAAATACGGAGAATCCGAAAACCCACTTTTAAAAATATAAAAGTTTTCAAAAAGTATGAAAGTTTTGATGTAAAAGTAGTAAAATGGTTTTAACATTTTTTTCTGTTTCTTTTCCGAAAATCCGTTAAACGTAAAATTTTTCCAGAAGTCAAACTGTCTTCCAATTGTCACTAACTTGAAAGATATAATCCATGAAAAGATGATAGTCCTAATTTTCAAAAAAAAATCTTCTAAAAAGTATTTTTAAGATAACCTAGCCGGATTCGTAAATACAAATAACGGGAATCAAGTGCGTCCAGTAGGAGGTGTTCATCAGATGGAAGAACAGGAGGAACAGGAGGAAGAGGAAGAAGGAGAGGAGGAAGAAGAGGAGGAAGAGGAAGAAGAAGAGGAGCAGGAGGAAGAAGAAATGATGATGCATTTTATACCGGAACCGCAAGAAGCAGTACTAAACCTGGCATTTCCATATCATCTACACAACCAATAATTGTATAATTATGAACCTTTATTGTAAAAGCAAACATTTTCGCAATTTCCCGCCATTTCCAGCCATTTTTTCCTGATTATTCTAGTCGATTTCTAAATATTCCAACTATATTGGTATCTCCTTCTTTGCTTCTCTTGTCCCTAATTGCCTCTAATTATTCCTAATACATTTTGCGTCGTATTCAAATTCTCTCTGCGTCTTCTACCCTCTAGTGCGTGTCGATGGGGCGTGCTTGCATAGCGTCGTCGTTCTTGGAAGTTTTTTCTCCTGCTTTTCAGCTATATTTTCAAGATTTTGTACATTTTTGGAACGTTTACCATGTTTTTTTGAAAATAAAATAACTATTTTTTTACACATTTGAACAATTTTTTACAGCTAAAAGTCTAGGATTTCCAACTTAATGTCTACTTCTTATCGTCTTCTCTGATAAATATGGAAAAAGAAGCAAAGTCGATAATTTTCAGGGAAAAAATGAGCGATGCTAGTGCTGAAAAAGAAAAAAAGCCTCTTGGCAAGCTAAAATTCGATCTTCCACAAGTCAAGTATTCATACAACTGGCAAAAACGGTTTTATACGTTTAAGCGAGAGGAAATTGTCGAAAAAGTGATTTCAATTTTCGCTGTGCGCGAAGAACACCGCCAAAATCGACGTTTCCGAGAGTTGGAGTGGTTTGCGAAGAAAATGGAGCTGATTTTATTCGACAAATCGGAGACTCAAGAAATTTACGAGGATGCTATCAATGCAGTGCGTCAGGCCATAGAGAATGTAGTTTCTAAAGATGCAGAGCTTCAGAAAAATATAGATAACAAAGGTGAAATTTGTTTTCAGCTATCAGGTCTTCAATTATTTTCTATTTACAGTGATCCCACCTACCGAAATGCTCGAAAAACTGTTTACACTGAAAGCAGATCGAGAAGAATACGTGGAAGAGGATTTTATGGAAGAGGGAGCCACCGTAGTGCACTTGATAACACCAGATCGGTTCAGACTCACGACATTTGACTTGAAAGCGAATAACGAGACGATAATCTTGAAGGTGAGCCTCAGGTTTTGAAGTTCTGGATCTTTAGAAACCACATTCTCTATGGTCTGACGCACCGCATTAATAGCATCTTCGTAAATTTCTTGAGTCTCCTATTTGTCGAATAAAATCAGCTTCATCTTCTTCGCAAACCACTCCAACTCTCGAAACGTCGATTTTGGCGATGTTCTTCGCGCACGCCAAAAATTGAGATAACTTTTCCGACAATTTCCTCTTGCTTAAACGTATAAAAGCGTTTTTGCCAGTTGTATGTATACTTGATCTGCGGAAGATGGAATTTCAGCTTGCCGAGAGGCTTTTTCTCTTTTTCAGCGCTCATTTCTCTCCTGAAAATTATATCTACTTTCTTCCCTTTATACATTTCTCCGGATACGTTAAAAAGTAGACTATTCAAAAGACATGGGAAAGGTTTCAAAATCATACAAGATCTCGAAAATTTAGTTGAAAATCAGAAGACAAATGTTCCGAGAATGATGGAAAGCACCATCGACACGCCCTAAATTTTCCTTTCAAACTGCTCTTTTTTCAGTCAGAATGCGAGCGAAAACCAGTTCAAGGTCAGCATAATCGACGAATCGCCAAGGCTCGATATACAACAACAATGATTCCACCCGATGAGCTCACCATGGAATTCACTCTTACACCTCTTGATGTGAAAGTGACCCAAACGGATTTCGTTGTTAAAAAATCGGAAAAAAATAAAGAAAAACAAGAAGAAAAAGAAGAAGTGATTGGACAAGAAGAGCAGGTTGAAGATGAGAAATCTGGTGAGTAGGACGATGTGAAGAAGGAGAAGAATCAGTATTACATTCCTGTCAATTGAAATAGAATCTATTTATTTTTGCACGATCTTTTCTAATAAAATCTCATAGGTTTTTTTTGTCAATTTTGTCAATTTTGCAAAAAAAATTTCAAATTTATTGTAATTTACATAATTGGCACATATAAAGAAACGAAGCTCATGAAAGTCTTGGGGTTTGATGAACTGAATCCACTTGAACAGTTGAGGATACGAGATTTGTGTTACGGGCGTCGATGAAATCCAAATCTGGGCAGTCGATGGAGAGGGGCGTCCTGGAAAATGGGAGATTACTCTGGGTGGGCGTATTTTAGGTCATCACCTAGATTTCAACTTCTATTTCATGACCTAGATCTCAGTATTCAGGTCATGACCTAAATTTCCATTTTTAGGTCGTGACCTAGTTTCCAGTTTTCAGGTCATGACCTGGATTTTGATTTTTAGGTCATGACCTAGATTTCAACTTTTGGTCATGAGGTTCTGAGCTTCTGAGCTCCCCAATTTCAGAATTTCGAAATTTTCCAGACCACCTATAATAATCCCCAATTTACTCACTTTTCTCTGTGTTGTGTGACCATAACCTGTGGTATATTACTGTGCCTGCGTTTCTCCGTCGGCTGATAAGCTCCACGCTTCTTACAACATCCACAGCTCATTTGACAGTATAGAATGACCAGTGCAACCAGTGCCAAACTAATTACAGTACCCGAAAAAATGATTAGCACAAGATTGAATTCATCGACGTCGAGAGAGTATTCGGGAAGGAACATTCTGCAAAAAGAAGGAATTCGGAGGGAATTTGAACTTTTTTGAGACAAAATAGTCACTGGAACAAGAAGTTTCAAATTAGTTCAGTATTCTCCGGGGAATCGGAAGAGTTGAAGAGCACAAAAAACATTTTTGGGAACATCTTTTTTGAAAAAAAAGTTCAAAACTTTGACAAAAAAAGAGGAAAAAGATAATGGCCTAGAAAATCAACTTTGGTGGCCTACAAAAGAAAAATTTACAAACACCTAATGGTATCTGGATTACAGAACTCTGGAATCTAGGTCACTACCTAAAAATTGAAATCTGGGTCACGACCTAAATATTGAACTCTAGGTCATCCCCTAAAAATGGAAATCTAGGTCATGACTCATGACCTAAAGATAAATTCTAGGTCATGACCTAGAAATCGAAATCTAGGTCATGACCTAAAAACTGAAATCTAGGTCATGATCTAAAAACTGGAATCTAGGTCATGGCCTAAAAACTTGAATATAGGTCATGACCTAAATATACAATCTAGGTCATGATCTAAATAAAAAATCTAGGTCATGACCTAAATAAAAAATCTAGGTCATGACCAAAAAACTTGAATCTAGGTCATTCCCTAAAAATGGAAATCTAGGTCATGACCTAAATATAAAATCTAGGACATGACCTGAAAACTGGAATCTAGGTCGTGACTTAAATATAAAATCTTGGTCATGAACTGAAATTAAAAATTTAGGTCATGACCCAAAAGTATAATTTAGGTCATGACCTAAAAACTGGAATCTAGGTCATGACCCAAAAATGAAAATCTAGGTCTTGGCATGAAAAAACAATGGCCTAAAAATCCAAAAACCGATAAACATAGTTTGCAGAAAAAATTAAAAGTCAGGGGACTCAGGGGACTTGTAAGACTTGCAACGAAAAAAAAAACAAAGTATATATTTTTGGAAAACTTTTTGAAATAAGTTCAAAATTTCTTTTTGGACAGAAAAAAGAATTCTCTCGGATTACCGCAAAAAATTTTTTTTCTGTGTATATGAGGAAAGTGGAAAAAGAGCAAACACTGAGCTTTCTCCATCCTCTCTCAAAAATAGAGCTCTTCTTATTCTCGTAGTAAAGGTAGATCACAAAAAAGCGAGCGAGAGAGTATTCGGAATGGAGAGACATCTAGAGAAAAATAAAATCATCGGCGGCACCGCACCAACAGTTGGCACTTTTCTTCTTCTTGAGAAACACGGAGCATCGTGAGAAACTTTCTGGAGAATTGTTTTCTAGTTTTTTCTCACAGATAGAGAGAACGAGAAAATTTTATGGATTACACAACAAAGGTTTCTGTTAAACAAGAAGAGAACGAAGGAGAGAAACTGGGTTCTCGCGGTGGCCGAGGAATCCAGAACTGACGGCCTAGAAAGCCAAGCATCGGCCAGGACATTCAATTTTTAGAATTGCGGCTACAGTATTCCAGAGAATCTTCCATTGCCTAGAAGCTTCCAACTGGTGACCTGAAAACTAAACAGCCACGTTCGGTGGCCTAGAAAACTGAAGATCATTTAAAATTTTGAAAATCCTCTGCTAGGAGACGCATCTTCCGAGAAAAAAAAATTTTGAAATAATGACCTACATCCTCAAAGGACACTGATTTTCAACTTTTTTTCCAGATGTTTTTTGAATTCGCCAGAAAATTGAACATTTCATATTTAAAATTTAAAATTCGCGCTTCTTCTCTCCACAGCTGTCCAGTAGAGCGCGCTTTAGTTAACAGGAAGCCAAAAAAATTATTTGTGTATTTCGCGCACTTTTTGCCCATTTATCGCCCTTTTCACACTAAAAAATCCACTTTTTCAGCAAATTTCCGTAGAATAGCTGTTTTTCTAGCTTTCTAGAGAATAATTAATGTCCAGATATGAGCCGCTGGTTAGTAAGGTGAGTTTTAATAATTGAAAATTGGGCGTTCGATACTTAAAACAAATCTTTAACAAAATAAAACATTTTCAGGAAAACTGGCAAAACTACACAATGAATCCAGGACCGTCGAACGTCTTGAGCCATATGGGTGCTCCGAAATCTGCACCATCGCCCGGGCGGCCTCTAAAACCCACATGGCACTGTCTGGTGTGCCGAAAAGAGCTGTCTTCGAAGAGATCCTACACAGAACACATGAATATACACAACAAGCAACGACCGTTCCAATGCGAACATTGTGCTTATGCTGCAGGTAGGCTTTCGGAAATTATGAAATGAGAAAACCTGAAATCAGTGTTACAGCCAGCCAAATGACCCTGCATAGACATAAGTTGCGGAATCATACGCCGAAAACCGAATGGGGTTATCGATGTCCGTATTGTGAGGACGCTTATATGGAACCGGCTGGATATCAGCAACATGTGCAGTGAGTGAAAAAAATTGAAGAAAAAAACCTGAATGGGCCTTAAATGACATAAATTAAGCCTAATTTTGATCCAAAGCGACCGTTACCCTGTTCAAACTCTTTTTTTCAGACAACGCCATCCGGGTAAATCTGCGACGTATGGCTGTCCGTTTGGGAAGTGTAAATTTGTCTCAAAGTCGCAAAGACACTTCCGGGAGCACCTTCCGAAGCATGAAAAGTGAGTGAATAGTTTAATTTCGACTGAAAATCGGACACCCACAATTTTCGCAGATGTGAAAAAGTGGAAGATGGAATCGATCCATGCGGTCTGTCGAATCAGGAACTCGTCCGTTACATGGTCATGGACGAGATCGGTCTTGGCTACAAACCCCTCCACGTGGCACCAATGATAGCGATTCGAGCGATTCCAAAAGTTCAAATCGCTCCGAAAATCTACGCAAGGCCAACAGGACGAACCTGTAGTGGACAGAATTGGCTCATCGAGAGAGTCATTCCGAATAAAACAGTGATTCGAAACAATCAGATTCCCGTGCCACGTCATCTGGAGCAGCAGCAAAGACTCTATGAAGCCCCGTCCTCCGCGGGACCTTCAGAATATCAAGATTACCAGCAGAGCCATCTAGAATATGATGAAACGGAGCATGAATCATGTTATGATGCTAAGTTGGAGCACGAGATGAATGGAAACGTGGAATATGAAGTGGAGGAGCAATACGAGGATGATGGACCGCCTGTTTTAGAAAGTTTTGGACTGGTGAACTCGAAAATGGACCGTCGGATAGAAGAGGATGAGAGGAGGCAGTGGATGGAGAAGCAGCACGAACAGGAGGTTGAGGTGAATATTGGAAAAAATACACATTTTAATAGCCTATTTCAAGCCTAGAAAAGCTTAAAATCAGCTACATTTGGTAAAAATCACCGAAAGAATGATAATTATAGCCAAAAATGCGGGAAAGTAGCTAAAAACTCTCTTTTTTTAACACATTTTTTCCAGCCAACACCTAAAGAAGGCGTCTTCCCGAATGGTTCCGTCGATTTCGATCTGGATTAATTGTTCAATTTGTTTTTTTAAAATCAAATTTTCAAATTGTTACTTTTTCTTGTTCACTTTGTCATTCTTTTTCAGCATTTTTCGTAGTTTTCTTACAGATTTTAATATAGCCAACCAAAGAATACGGGACAGTTTTTTGCAAAAGTTGTGATTTTTTCAATTTCTCATAATATTTTTTTTTCCATTTTTTACTAATTTTTTCCCTTATTTCTCATGGGTATCGTCCTACAATGCCACATATTTTTCTATCAATTTTGAAGATTCCAGTTTTTTTCCAGATGGAGGGACCGTCCTCTTCGTCGGTGCCGACGGCTTCTGATGCACCATCCAAGTATTTGTTGCCTTCTGATAGTGACGATGGCATCGCTACGTCTTCTGCAGCAAATGTAGGTGCCAGGAACCACGTGACGAATACAGAGAAGATGGAAAAGGAGAAGAAGCCGTCGCCGATGGTGCTCAACGTGGATCCAGATTACGGTAATAAAAAGAAAGAAGATATTGCAAAAAATCCGGAAAAATTAGTTAAAAATCGCTGGTGATAACCCAGAAAAATTCTTAAAAATCAGCCTCCTACCCTGTGAAAAAGATAGAATTCGCTTGAAATTCTAAAATTCATTTGTCTAATCTTCGTTGTTTTGCAGATTACGACGAGGAAGATGGTGGCTCCTGCGAAGAAGATCAACGTGGTCCTCCAGCTCCGATCAGCCGAGAAATCGTTGATGGAGCGATTGCAAGACGGTCCAGAGATCGACAAATTTCTCCTGGAGTGGTAAAAATATGATCTAAAATCGACCATTATTTCAAAAAAATTTCAGAAAATGTCCATTGGAAACTATGACGATATGGAGGACGACGACGAGGAAGCGGAGACTCCAGAAGAACAAAAACAGCGATTTCTAGCGTCAATGAAGAGAATTAGGAATCAGGTAAAGGCTTTACTATCAGGAAATTGTCTGATAAATGATATACAACTAAACATTTTCTTAAAATATACCTAATTGTCCTCTCAAGCTAATTACCCCTAATTAATCTCTAATTAAGCCACAAGAAGCGTTCGATCCTCCCGAAGACACTGAAGCAATGCGTGAATTCATCAATCGACAAGTGAACGATGCCATGATGTTCAATAGAGATAATGTAAGACCCTTAATTAAGCCTTAATTACTCTTACCTCGCCTCTTTTTCGCCGCAATTACAGCACATCGATTATTCGCCAGTGAACAAACCAAAGGAAGCGAAAATCATTGAGGGATATCTGTGGGGAGGAATTATAGGAACTGGATCTTATGGAAAAGTCAAGGAGGTTATTGATATTTATACAATAACGAGAAGAGCCGCCAAGATTATGAAGGTGAGAGTTTATTCGACAAAATGTGTTTGGAGAAGTATGATTTATATAGCAATCGAACAAAAAATTGCAAAACTTCGAAAAATCGCTTCAAAAAGCGAACATTTTAAACCTTTTTAGGTTTTTCAGCTATTTTAGAAAATTCTGGAAAGTTCTCGGTTCTTTTTTTGAATTCCCGCCAAAACTGACAACTCCGAAAAATCGTTTTTTTTCTCCAACTTTTTGCAAAATTTTTAGACCTTTTTGAGGTTTCCCATTCTTACAGTACGAAAAGCTACGAAAAATCCCAAACGGCTGGGACAATATCCGCAGTGAAATGTCGATTCTTCGTCGCCTAAACCATAGGAACATCGTCAAACTGATTGAAGTATTCAATCTACCAGAAAAAGGAAAAGTCTACATGATCTTCGAGTACTGTATCGGTTCTGTTCAAAATCTCATCGACATGGAACCAGCGCATCGTCTATCAATCGGAGAATCCCATGCCATCTTTTTGGAGCTGTGTCATGGATTAAACTATTTACACTCGAAACGAGTGTCCCATAAGGATATCAAGCCAGGAAACTTGCTGCTTTCCATTGATATGACTGTTAAGATTTGTGATTTCGGTGTCGCTGAGCAGATATGCTTGTTTCAGGTTGGGGGTTTTCCTAGAATTTAAAGTAAAATAAACATTTTCAGTCCGACGGACGGTGCACAAAAGTCAACGGAACACCCAAATTCCAGCCGCCAGAGTGTGTTTATGGAAATCATGAGTATTTTGAGTAAGTAATTGCCAAAAATTTTAGTGTGGGTGGTCTAAATTTCTTAATATGAGTTTTCTAGACCACCAACTTTTTGTTGATAAAAAAAAAAGTTGATGGCCTAGAAAAGTTGATGGCCTAGAAAACTCAACTTGCAGAAGTTAGGTCACAATGCTAAAATCAACTAGAAAACACACCAGTTGAGTATGAGACCATTTCTAGGTCAAAAAAGCTGGTGGCCTAGAAAACCCAATTTGCAAAAGTTAGGCCATCATGCTAAAATGGGCTAGAAATTCTAATAATTCCAGCGGCTACAAAGTAGATATGTGGAGTGCTGGTGTCACACTGTACAATATGGTTTCTGGAAAGTATCCATTCGAGCAACAAGTGCTGCTAAGATTGTATGAATCGATTGGAACGAATCCAGTGGAAATGCCAACAAATGTGGAGCTGAGCAAGGATTTACAAGAGTAAGCCACAAAAAACACCCGATACCCTTCCAAACTTCTGAATTTCAGCATAATCAAACGCCTGCTAGACAAGGACTTCAACACTCGTCCGAACATTTCCGATGTGATGCAACATCCATGGTTCCAGACAGGTTTCCCTGAAGACCAAGGTCTTGGAAGAATCATGGAACGAATGAGAACTGGGGACCGCCCATTCACAATGTATCCCTCTCTACAAGCAATGTACGATGGTGCTGGAAGTGAAGTGATTCTGGATGAGGACGGTAATGAGCTCGTCCTGCCACCACCTGATTTGGTTAAACGAGGTTTGAAATTTTTTCTTGAGTTGAAAATTCTTGAAAATCTTCCAGGAACTCTTTCGCTTTCCTCATTTCCCGGATTTCAAACTCTTGAAAAACGTCCAGGCGACGGACCACCACCGTCGTCGGATTCTGGAGTCGTAGCAGCACCGGATTCAGCATCTGGAGACCCACTGAGACGTCCGTCTTCAAGATCAATGCCAACTTCCGCGCCACCGAGACCACCGTCAGGGGCTGTTGAAGTTGTAGAAGCAGTGGCTGCCCCTGAAGCCGTCGTCGAGGATCCAGTTGTTGAAGAAGCCCCCGCTCAGCAACAGGAAGCTCCAGATAGAAGAAGACGTGGAAAACGAAGCCTATTCTCGTGTATTTTCCGATCCAGAACTGATAGCAGTTAGCCCTTAATTAGGCTGAAAATTGTTTTTCTTCTAATTTTCATATTCCTCATTATCTATACCATCTTATTCTCTTTTTTTTATTTTTTGTATCAATTCGCTCCTTTGAAAAATAACTATTCTCGCTGGAGCTCTGCAATAGCTCAATGCTCGAAATCTGCAGGGTCTGATAAGTGCTCATCAGATCTTTATATGTTCTCAGGATAATTTATTGACCCGATTTTACATGTAAACCGAAAACGCCCAGGAAACTCAACTTTCACTCTAACTTTCTGCCATTTTATTCTCTACTTATTTTTATTTTTCTTTTATATTTATCTGTATGTTTTTTTTTCGCTCCCTGAAATTTCTAGGCCCTCTTTTCTCTAAACTCGGTCATATCGAAAAGTGCTTAAATGAAAACATTGTCAAAATCTTCAGAAAATATTAACATTTTTTTCTAGTTTACAGCTAATTGTAAGATACATTTTTCAGTTGAAACCGTCATGGAAGGGAGAGGGTAGGGCTGGAAGAATACTGAACCGGTGCTAGTAGAAAACTATAGGACAGAAAAGGAAGGGGTTCCCGGGGGGCAAGAAGAGGAGAATATGACTAGAAAATACATAATTGGCGAGAGGTAATTAGGTCACAGATTTTCCTTGTGGAGTCCATTGTATACATGAAATAATGATGAATGCGCAGAATGGGAAAATTGAGGTGATAATGAAAAGATAAGTGTATCCGATGGCTTTCAAGTAGAACTGAGAAATCGCTGCCAGCAGAACTCCAGATGCTGTCTGGAAATATTTTTCAAGCCAATTATCTTGTTTTCCTATTAATTATCGCTAATTACCGTTGATAATATCAAATAACCATAATTTCGAGCTTTGTGCCGATTTCCGAAACATTTGACTGTGGCAGTGATGAAAAGAGCATGAGTGGCACCCATACAAATGAATGTGCCGGTGAGCTGGAATTTTTTAAAATTAGGTTAATTAGGAAAATTAATGAACCCACCCAAAACAAGAAGGCCATCTTTCCGAGCTCTCTAGTCATTGGCATAGTGAGTAGGAACACACTGGCAAGACACGTGGCAGTGCTCAGCGCAATCTGAAAACTCGTTCGATCCGTCAAATAGCCCCAACCGATCCGAGCGATCGCATTGGCAACTGACGCTACGGAGAATGCCATTGCCATGTACATATCATCCTCGATGAACGATTCGCCATAGGTTTTGTACAAATTATAGAACATGTTCGCGTAGAATGAGCAACAGAATAGGGATGCGAATAGGCAGTAAAAGGTGGGAGATTTCAGCATCTCGCTAGACGTCATCTGAATTGTTGTGTCTTCGTCGTTGTCGAATACTGGGTCTTCATCATCGTCGTCTTCATCGTCGACGGAGTTTGTGATAGACTCGTTGGAGCGGGATTTCTGGAAACGTTGGGAGGTTGAAGGGACGACTTTGAAGCTCCTAGACGTTTCAGAACCCGACGTTTCAGAACTTTTCTGCATTTTTGCATAGTGGTTTTTGCACATCAAATGGGTATTGCTCATTTCAATTTTTTGTCGTACCGTACTCCAAATAGATTCACACTCGGAAACTCTCAAAAAATCGAAAAAGGTGAAAATTTTCAAAAACGGTGTTTAGAAGTACACAAAAAAATTTGTGGCTCTCATTTTTGCGTTAATTACAGCACACTATTCATGCAGAGTTTAATAGGTTTTTCGAAATCATGCACATTGCACACACACCATACAACAATCATCACAAACCGATGGATCAGCGGCGGGCCGGTTAGTAGTTTCAACTACAACTTTCTCGTCAAGTCGTACACGCGAGTACGATACGCCAGCGTACCGTTGAGAAGCGCTCGCCGAGAATATGTACTCGGATAGCGAGCCAAGGCCAGAGTGGCGGATCTGAGTATATTTCGAGCTTAAAATCGTTCTAACACCGGTTATAAAATGCTCAAATTTTCTTCTACACATTCGCCACGTGGCGCTTCTGTCTTACCCGAAACGGTGGATCACAGACGACAACCAGCGCGATGCCTTGCATGATTCCATAGATAATTGCCAATTTTGTGAATAATGATGGCACTCGCATGAGCAATTCTGGTTGTACAAAATAGCCATCTTTGGTGGCTGGAAGATTCAATGGATTCACAATCATCGTCTGGATAGGAGCGAAAATCGATGAGGATATGCCGAAGCCGGCGGCAACGATTCCCGAGACAACGCCGATTTTGTCAGGGGCCCACTGGAAAACAGATTTTTAAAATTTCAATGTCCCCATTTTGCGAATTCTAACATTGATAGCTGTAGAGACCGCTGTGACATATGCAATTCCAGATCCCAATCCAAAAAGTAGACCATAGACGACGAAGAACAACGCGAACGAGTGTTGAATAGCGTAGGCGGATAGGGCGACGCTCGACCTGCAGAGAGAAATTGTTTATACTTTTTTCCAAAAAATTTGAAGATTACGTCACTAGCGCACATCCAATGAATGCTGAGACTCGCGGACTGAAAGTGCTTGAAGTTAGACCGCCTATGACCATCGCGAATGGGAAACATCCTTGAAACGTCGGAATCCACATCATATGCTCGATTCTGACAGTTGGATCGGTGAAATTTCGCATATACGAAGCCATATAGGGTAGCATGTTGCCAAAAGTGTGATAAGTTCCTATTGTGAGATGAATGGAGACTGCGCCGAAGAGAATTACGCATATTCGGTTGAACGGGGACAGTGAGTAGATTGTGTCGGCTATTGGGTCCCTCCGCCGACGACATAACGACATTTTGAAAACTGAAAATTGGTGGAAATCGGTTGAAAATATTAATTTTTGAGCAAGGATTACGGTGAAAAGTTGTGCATTTTACAAAGAGTACGGAAACACTGAGCTTAGCGGGAATGGCTAATTTTCAAATTTCTTTTCTAAATTTCGATTTTTTGCAGAATAGCCTTCAAAAAAAATAGAAAAACAACACAAATAAACTACCAAAAATCAAGAAAACATGTATGTAACCTTGACGGATTGCCGACTTTCTCCTTCTAATCGCACTATATAGTACAATACATAATATATAAAGCATAAAATGGCGCAAACCGGATCAATCCATGTTTTTTTTCAGGAAAAAAAGAAAAGGATTTGCTAGAAAGAAAGAAAAAAAGAAAGAGGAGATTTTTTTTGGTGAAATTTAAGAAGAAAAACAACAGAATTGTGATAACAGCTGTGTGTTCAAAGTTGGAAATTCCAAGTGCAGAGATCGGCGAGGAAGTCTACCTGTTTTTTGGCGAATTAGCGCAAAATTCAGGCCGAATTTGAAATGATTCAAGACTGTGAGAAATTTTAAATTCGGCCAATTTCGACAGGAAGAAATTTCAAAATCCATTAAAAATTTTCGCATAGAGAATGCGAAAAAAATTCGTCAATATTTTAATATCATCTAGTGTGTAGGAGTGGTGAGAGCTTCCCAGAAAAGGAGCTCAGAAAATGTATAGAGAGTGCGCAAAATAAGGAGTGCGCCTGAAGCTTTTCTTGGTTGGCCTCGGTTGGCTGCTTTCCCCGTTTTGGAGTCTTCCAGCGCACTTTTATCGAATTTATCGATTTTACAACATGAATATGCTTTGATTGCAAGATTTTATCACCTTGTTCCGATTCTTCCGATTCTTCATCTTTTTTTCTGATTTCCTGGAAAACATTTCCAACTTTTTCTCTTTGACTACGGTGGAAGGCGACAGTGCGCACCGACACCGATCGGCCTTGCATACTCAGTGAAAAGCCCAATGATGTTTGCGGACATTTCGGCGACCGATCGAACGAAACGAGCTGATCACTAATCTTCAAGTGTTTTCGTTGATTTTTTCGTTGAAATTATTTTAAAATCCGATTTTTCGCCATATGTTTGTGTATATGAAACCTGATTTCGTTGTATTTTTTTTATGCTTTGTGCCCGGAAAACTGGTCATTGGATTTCAAAGCTGATAATCAATAATTTAGCAGTTTCTTTCTTTTTTTAGAAAATTGTATTTAGACAAAAATTAAAGCTTTTTTTAAAAATTTTCTCTATTTCGTTCTCTTCGAAAACCGCTCTTTTGTTCTTTTTGACATATTTTCAATTCCAGAATGGCTGAAGAGGTCTTCGCCAACCCTCTAGAAGAGCCAGTAGATGTTGAAGTGTCTCTGGACGACGACGAAGACACATTCCGTACCGCTCGTACCAATGTCACCGCTTCGGAAGCCACGTTGAAAGAAGATGTGGCGGATTCGTCGAGCAGCCACGTGGCAGCGACTGTGGACCCAAAAGAGGAGACCTATTCGTCGCTGATTGAGAATCGAAATGTGAGAAGGGAACACACACACACACACAGACATTTTGAATTTTTGCAGAAGTTATTGATAAGAGACTGCATAAACTGATAGTAGTCACAACATAACTTGTTGTGTTTTGTGTGTCATTTCTCCCACATGACAGATGCATTTTTTATTGATTTTCTGTCACTTTTTCTGTCAAAAATCAATTTTAGAGGGGGAAACTTTTTTTTTAGATTTTTCAAGCCCAATTCTATCTTTCAGCACCGCACCGAGGAGATCAGCATTGATATGGACTCGGCCGACTCGATTCTGGTCGACATTTCAGATGCGCTTTCGGAGAGGGATAAGGTCAGTGCATCAAAAATTTCATTAAACTCATCAAATATGAAATTTCCAGGTTAAATACACGGTTCACACGCGCACACGTCTTCAGGATATGCGTCCAGAGACTGCTGTGGTTCGAGAGCACGAAGAGTTCCTCTGGCTTCATGGAACGCTTGAGGAGAACGAATCCTATGCTGGATTTATTGTAAGTAGTTTTATAAGATTGAAAATTACTATCCGAGGCCTAAAATAAGAAATAACAGGTTTTCGAGGCATTCGATCTGCCAAGAACAGCCTAATAATCATTTTGAACGCCTGGAAAAGGTCTGAAATGACAAGAGTACGATTTATAGATCCCACCGGCACCTCCAAAGCCGAATTTCGACTCATCCCGAGAGAAACTTCAAAAACTTGGGGAAGGCGAAGCAACGATGACTAAAGAGGAGTTTATGAAGATGAAACACGACTTGGAGCAGTAAGTATTGTCTAATTCTATGTGGAAATTGTTGAAATCGTTTCAGAGACTATCTGGCACAATTCAAGAAGACTGTCGCCATGCACGAGGTGTTTTTGCAGAGAATCGCCGCTCATCCGGTCTTCAAGAATGATCAGAATTTCAGAATCTTCTTGCAATATGAAAATGAGGTACTATTTTTAAAAACTCTCTGGCTATGAGAAGAAAAATGAATATTTTCAGCTCTCGGTCCGCGGAAAGAACAAGAAAGAGCAGGTGGATCGTTCTGGAAGCGTTTCACCCAATCCGCTGATGAGGTTCTGCTTTCTGGACAAAAGGATGTTGACGAGTTTTTCGAGAAGGAGAAGAATTATATGGTAGAATACAATATACATATCAAGGAGGCGGCGGCGAAGGCTGAGAAGGTCACAGCGGCCAGAAAAAGTGGGTTTCAAGGAGAATTAAGATTGAAAATCGCTAAAAAAGTTGTCACTTGAATCCCATTTTCGCCATTTGGAGTGAAATTAGGCTAAACTCAATAAAAATTCAAAAAATTGGTATCTAAATTTTCAGACGTTGTGGTGTCCTTCTCGAAAATCGGCGACTGCTTCGAGCGTATTGCACGTGGAGAGCCGAACAAGGGACTGGCCAGGACATTTGCCCAAGGAGCCGATGCGATGGTTAAGCTGAAAAAGGTGAGAATTTTGAATGAATTCTGGTCTAGAAAAGCCTAAAATTGGTCTAGAATGGCTTAAAATTGGTCTACCATGCATAAATAATATACTTTCTGATAGTTTCAGAAACCCAATTTCATTTTCATAACATTTTAGGTAGAATCCCGCGCTGCTAACGACGAAGAACTGAAACTCGGTGACACTCTCCACTACTTTGCCAGAGATACACAAGCGGCTAAGGATCTTCTCTACCGCCGAATGCGCTGCCTTGCCAACTACGAAGCTGCCAACAAGAATCTGGAGAGAGCACGTGCCAAGAATCGAGAGATTCCAAAGGCTGAGGCGGAGCAGGCGGAGGCTTGTAAGAAGTTTGAAGAGATCACTGGATTGGCTAAAACCGAGCTGAAAGAGCTGAAAACGAGACGAGTGCAAGCGTTCAAAAAGAATTTGATCGATTTGTCAGAGTTGGAAAAGAAGCATACGAAGGTAGGAGGGGCTGTCAAGATTCTAAATACCGCAAAACCTGTAATAGAAGTGCCCCCACACTGTCACGTTTGAGCTCAATTATCTCGGTCCTCATCAAAGGTAGAAAAAAAATTGTGAAAAAAACGGTTTATCATAATATCACAAAAATTTTATCAGTGGACAACATTGTTATATCTCTTACAGTAACCGAGATAAACTGGCTCAAAGTTAAAAGTTAGGGGGCCCTTCTATTACAGGTTTTACTGTAATTTTTCGAAATATTGAAATTCTTAAATTCTTAAATCTCGGAATTCTCAAAATTTTGAAAAAAAACGTTTGATAATCAACAAAATTCGATTAAACATTTCCAGGCAGAAATATCTCTTCTAGAGGACGTTGTCGCTCGTCTCAAACAGCTTTGATTGAAAAATTTCCAATATAAAATTTCTATTTTGATCTATTTATGTGTAAATTGATGTTTCTATTTTTGCATTATTTTTACCTGAAAATCGTAATTTTCAGGCAAAGATAATGTCATTTTCTAGTCTTATATTCCCTTTTTTCTGCCACATATTTGCATATTTTTTAAATATTTTCAAGCCAGTTATATATATATATATATATATTCATTTATTTATTTATTGCCCCCCCCCCTCCCCTTTCAGAGAGCTGTGATTTATTGATTTTCTCTCCCCGTTTTCCCTACCCTCTTTAATTTATTCCTAAGCCCGCCTCTTTTTTTCGGTGATCACCCGCACACATATAAACATATAATATGCTATTTTTCAGCACTTTTCCTATCACCTCCTTACCATAAGTCGATTATGTTTCTATATATTTTTAAAATTCTATAACATTCACACAAGCGGTTTCAGAATTTTATACCGAAATTCCCGCTGAAAATATCTTTGAAATTGAAAAACGAAACTGATAGTGAGGGCTTTTTTTGCTTAGGGCTAAAAAAAAAGATTGTAAACCTGAATTTGATTTTAAGTCCAAATTCGCGGGGTTTCTAATGCAAAATTTTAAAAATTAAAGGTTTTTAGTTCAAAAACGCATTCTTGAAACCGAAGAATAGCTTCAAAAAACGATAAATCTCAATTCTCGTCCATTTCTGGAAACATCTGGTTTTCTAATCTTTTTTTTTTGAATTCCCGCCAAAACCGAAAACTCCGAAAAAAGAGCGATTTTTCAAAAAAAAAAAACCTATTTCTTCTCCGATTTTTAGCAAAAATTTTAGACCTTTTTGGGTTTCCAGCTATTTTCAAAGGTTCTTTTTCGATTTTTCTGAATTTTTTGTCTGAAATTTGACCGGATTGTGTTCGTGTAGATACTATAGGTTACTTTAGAAAACTTTGTAGTTTGTAGTTCCGGTTTCTGCTAGCACAATCACGTCAAAATGCAGAAACTTTTTCTGTTGCAAGAATATGAGTTTTTGAACTGAAAACGTACAAATAGCATCTTGAAAAACCTCAATAAATTATATTTTCTACACAATTCAATGACCCCTTAAAAATCTTAAAAATGACTAAATCTTTAAAGGTTTCCCCTAATCTCTAGTCGATTTTCGTCACTATTCAATTTCTA